GACCCGGAAGGAGGAGAGAGGGATGGAGAGGGAGAGGATATAGGAGGAGAGGGAGAGAGAGGGAAGGAGGAGGGAGAGGGAGGGAGAGTACAGGAAGATGGAGAGGAGGACCGGGAGGAGGAGGAGATGGCGGGGTGAGAAGATCGGGGATCGGGCCGGAGCGCGAGCGCGTCGCGCGCCACATGTACTCAGTAGTAGACAAAAGACCACCACCAGCCTTGCTAGAGCATCTATAGAGGCACCGGGCCCTCCCCAACAGATGTTTCGTTGCCAATGAGTATATACCATTGTCCGAAGTCATTGATACCATGATAGAATAATCACCCGACGCTTCTTGCTAGACTGCCCGAGCAATATATTGCGTGTTCGGGAGGACCTCCGGGCGAAACGCGTGAACGGATTGGACCGCACTCTTCGTAGGTAAAGGTATCACAGTGCACGAGTTCGAGTACCACGCCGGGATCGCTGATAGTAACGCATGTTCCAAGCTTCTCTCTTGAACATCTTCGCGATCTCTCAGCTAAATGCAGTATTCGCGTCGGGTCCGCGACGCTCCCGCTTTCGATACTAACCAGATCTGGCAGGGGTTCATCACATAGGAAGGAAAAATAATCGACGAATCATGTCACAAACAGATGTATCACACAGTGATGTTGATTTTCCGAAACAAGAGGCAAGTACATGAATGTGGTTTTGTATACACGCGCAGGCCGTTATTCCGACAAAATACCCAAAGAAAGATGAAACCTAATTCCCAAAGAAAGAAGACTGTCCGCCTCGCGACATTCTGCATTAGCACAACAGGTGCGACTCTTGCGTGTAATGATCGCACGCGAGGACCACACTGAAGACCGGATCGAGCTGCATCGACCACTTCTTAAGCTCCGCTTTGCAGGTTCTTAGATCAGGAGCACACCCGCGAGGAGAACGAAGTCGAGGCCGATGATGAGCTCGGTGACGGCGCCGAGCAGGCCAACAACAAGACCGAGGATGATGGTGAGCAGGTTTCCCGCAAGCCTGAGCACGAGCGCGACGAGGGCAGCAAGAACGGGGCTGAGATTGCCATGAGTACCGTGCACATGGCTTGAGCAGATGAAGAACGTACTCGAGGATCTTGATAACTACGAGAACGTCAGACTTGTCCTTGCTGATGCTGTGGGCCTTGTTAAGGGAGTTCATAACGTCCTGATAGAGAACTTGGTCAATGAAGAGAGTACCATGACTCTTGAATGAACACGGACATTGACGGTAGTGCTCATGAGCATGAGCGGGTTGCCGTTACCGTTGCCCTTGGCGCTCTTGATAGCGGTAGTCGCCGTTTCAACAAGAGTCTTGACCTTCTGAACGCTTGTGTTGACGTTGTCGACGGTAGCCGTGCTTGCCGTCATGCCGCCTATAGGCATCATTAGCAGATGTATCGGCACTCAGACCGGTAAAACTCACTGAGCTCGCCGAGAGGGTCCTTCAAGTCATTGTTGAGGTTGGTGAGGATCGTCGAGATGTCCTGGGAAGCGCGAGTAACGAGCTCGCCAGCCTCAGGAGCCGCTACAGGAGCGGGGGAGGGGATGGCCGAAGCAATGGTGCCGAAGGCAAGAACAGCAAAGGTGGCGATCTTGGCGAACGAGAACATGATGAGATGAGAGGAGGAGAGGGTAAAGGAGGAGAGGAGTGCTGTGTTGCGATCGCTGAAGCTCAGGTGAACCTGGGGCTGAAGATTAGAGGTCTTTGCAGGCAAGCCTTTATACCCAAACAGCACGAGGCAAAGGACCGCAGTATGGGCTCATCCGCCTTCGATGGCATCCCATTGAGCTAAGTTTGCTCTACTTTTCCTCAGTCGTCGTATTCGAGCAATAGCTAAGGCTAGAGCGGCCGGAAGATAATCAGGAGTGTAAGCAGATCCCCAGACCCGTGTATTTCGCGCTTGGCAAACATCATCTTACTTCCAGCGGCCGTGCCGAACCAAGAGAAGATCTACGTGCCCGCCAGTGCATGTCCATGCCAGGAAGTCGTCTCATGCTCCGTCGTGTATTGCACGGCGGACTCAAACCGGATCGATGAGACTATTGGAAGAACTTCGAAAGAGTTTTCCACATGCGCCATCGGAGCGTACAAAGATGTCACAGAAACATAGTGTCTTGTGCCAGAGGCCATTCTGGACGCCAATCACTGAAATTGTGGGTCGGAGACGAGGAACTGACAGTACTAACTTGTGACAGGAAGCAAACGAAACCGCTCGGCCGCCCCTGCTGATGACGATCGAAGCACTTATAGAGCGCCTGAGCATGCCGATACTTGACTCAAAGGATCGATGCCTTTCACCGCCTTGGAACAAAGTTCTGGTCCCTTGACCTCTACTAGCGAGTCAACGACGGTCCAGTTCAGAGAGCACGTTGATTACCGGCTCGTAGAGAGCAGCGACAAATTACATCTCGTGCCCTATGTGACCACCAACATGAGCGTATTGGCGGCTGTCTTTTCTCCGAAGGATGGTCCAATCAGAGATAAATGAAGATGATGGTTGAGAGTGACATGCTGCGTCGGCGAACCCGGCCACGAGAACTATGGGCGCTGGCGTGTGTGAAGCCGAAAACTTCCGAGTTGCTCTCGGCCGCGGCAAATTCAAATCACCTTCCAGCCTACTCAACCCCATCCCCTTGGTCCGAGCTTCGTTGAAAAAGCCGACATCTTTGCACGACCCAAGCACGACCGCACCTCGCTATGTAGACTCGATTACGTGGGGGAATCCTTGACCTGCATGCGCTCTTGACCGACAGGCCAATTGATCAAAGTCACGAACACGCGCCTGGAACGCGCACTTTGCGCTCCGCGCCATGACCTATATGCCGCACTGCGTCCGTTGCCTCCCTCGCTCTACGACTTTTATCACACCACCAAGTACCCATCTTCCTCATCTCCGCACATTTGACGACAGAATTTCGACCCAGTCCGTGTCCATTGAGTTCTCCTTGAACGTGCACAAACGAAGGCATTCCCCATCCATATCCCTGGGCCGTCTTAGAGCGCCTCGAACGCAAGTCCGAATGCCTAGGGCATCTACTGCGGGTCACCGACCACTTGAATGTGTCAGCTGCTAGGTGCATCCATTCGACTTCAACCTTCTTCAAGACTGCCATATCTGCCCACTGCCAACGGTGTAGCGGCTGCAATATGTTCACGGATAACCCATTTGCACACCGTGCATATGCAATATGATGAAATACCCACATACCTACAAGAGCGCTTTCGGCTTTTTATGAGCGCCAGATGACCCCAGACGAGTGATCATGATGGAAATTTTATATAACACCGTGTACAGCGTAATACAACTCGAATTTGAATTAATCCTCTTGTTTCTATCGTACAATCATGTCTTCGGAGTGCCATAGCCGCCCTCAGAACAGCCTCACATTACATTAGAGGAGAGAGTCGGGGAGGTCAACATCAGCGTTGACGCTGGCCAAACTTCCGTCTAAACCATGCAAGTTGACCGAGGGAAGCCCATCCATTCCGGGAGTGCGTTTAGAGAATCTGCGGAGCAGTCAGAAGAGTTTCATAGCTGAGGCTTTCGATGCGCACAGATCGTCGATGAGTTCCTCGCCGGAAACGGACACCCCGACGTTTGCGTCAGGAAGGTTAAACGGATGGTCATCACCTGAGGAAGTGCGCTTGTTGAAACTGAGGCAGTTGTCAGCATCGCAAGAGCATGATAGTAGAGAAAAAGCGAACAGATCGTTCAGGCGGTCAGGATGAACCTCTGCGTCTAGGCCGAGATTCAAGTCATCGAGGTTGAGAGCCGAAAGATCGCCAGATGAAGTACGCTTGTCAAATCTGAGGTAGGTGTCAGCATCGCAGGATCATGATTGTAGAGAAAAAACGAACAGTTCGTTCAGGCGGTTAGGATGAACCTCTGCGTCAAGTCCAAGGATTGGGTTGAGATTATCCAAGGTCGATGAGAGATCGTCAGTCAAACTGTCTCCAATGGATGTGCGCTTGTCAATTCTATACGTAGGTAAGCAACTGCCGATAGCGTCGATTTCGCTGGCACGTACGAAGCGTTGATATCCACCGACAAATCGTGACCATCGCCAGTCGAAATGGAAACGGGCGTGTGCGAGCCGCTACGCCATATTCGGGGGTCAGAAGCCGTCGGCCTGGTGTACTAGGGTGGGACTAACCCAGTAGGGGCAGCATTTACTGCAGCAGCGAGGGCGATGAGAGCAAAGAAGCGCGTCGAGAACATTTTGATGGCGTTTGAATAGCTAAGGTTAAGACGAATGTGCGGACGGAGGTTCTGTGATGTGTACGAGATTGAGGCAGGAAGCTTTATAGTCCGCATGAGCACTCTGATCGCTATGACGCCTGAAGTTCTGACCCGACTTGAGCGCGCCAGGAGGATGTCAAGTGTTGGAAAACCCACCTTGCCCTGGGCCTGTGTGAGGGACGATGGCGATGTCTGTGGAGGTTGATCGGAACTCCAGCGTAGAGTGTGTTGTCCACACCGAGACATGTTCTGTATAGTACGGCGTGTGGATGATCGCTCGTGAAGCGGACCGGTCGGATTGTGGTGCGCCAAGGGTATAGCATTGTCCGGAGGGCTGCAGGTCTGCGGGTCCGAGAGGAATGGAAGCAGAGGACTGAAACAGAATCTGCTGGACGATCCTGTCAATAATCGCCGCTGGCAGCCGTTTGGGTGTAGACATAACGTGGGCGCCCTTGCTCGTGTGATATATCCTTTGAATATCCTGTACATGGATGAGGGAAGACCCAGACTAGCTGCTGTTCGTGCCCTCATTTCAAAGCACAGGTCCCCGCCGCACCCCAGAAAGCACGGATAGCCAGACTAGCGGCGTCATCCATGTGCCCGATGTATTCGCTGTAGATTCAGACAAAGGTCCCCACGGCACCACAGTTGTACCCTTCCCGTGTCTCGCGAGTATTGCGGTCCGTCTAGCCGGATGATATACGGTTTTTGGAGTGGAGATCGAATTGAGGAGCGCAGAAAAAGGTCGTGTCCATATGCTCCATAGCTGGTTACGCGAAGGTGAGACCTATGAGGGGACATGTAAGTCATAGCCGAATTTCGCGCATTGGTCGATAACTGGGCTCACGACGAAGGCTTGATGGCGTCAAAGGCGTATGCAGTCGTTGCTCGCACGATGAGCCAATCTGTTGAGTGGGTTATTCGTAGGGCCCAGCAGCACTCATTGGCAGGGCCACTGGGCGGCTTCGCACTGCGGAACTATCGCTCGCACACGGCGCGCTCGGCGTATCCACATCCAGATACCACATGACGACGCCAACATTTAGCACCGTATCGTCGAAGGTAGGCTATGGCTAGCACGGCTGAACTGTATAGATAGAGTGCATGGCATTGGCCAGGCGTAACGCGCACAAGCGTCGTCGTCGCGTCTTGCAAGCCACGAGCCGTGATCGCGGCGGACAGCCACCGGGGTCACACGCTTCGTTATATACGACCGCCTCTTCCTCCGCTTCCACCAAGCTTCCACCTCGATTGCAGGCACTCTTCGTACAGAAACCACATGTACAAAAAATACAAATGCATAGCTGGTAGAGTATCAAGAAACTTCAGTCCACTTGACATCGGTAGGAGCCTTGACGTCCCAGGCCGTCGACAACGTGACCTCCTTCCCGGCGTCAACTGAGCAGACCCATTCATACAACCCATCTTTCCGTCCCTGGGTATCGCCCCAGCGAACCTTATGTTCCCAGACGTCCTTCTCCTCTCCTTGCTCGGCCTCCGCGAGCAAAGCGGGCTCCCGCAGAACGACGCGCACGCGTTTCTCGTCGTCACTGATAGGGAGTGAGTCTCGCACGACAAATGTTGCGAGCGCGAATGGATGAGTGTTGACGATGGTCGTGCTCGCCGAGCAGGCCGTAGTTGAGTATCGCTCGGAGAAACGGCTTGCTTGAACATCGGTCTCCAACTTGGAGACACGGTTGTAAGTAACACGCGTCCCCATGTCGGGCCCGAGGGTACAAGTGAAGTCACCGCCTGGAGCGATATTCTAGTAGTACCGTTAGGAGCCATTGATGGATAACCATCTGATACAGCTCACCTTGACGGAGGTCTTCGATACAAAGCTATCATCGAAGAAGATGTTGACTGGGCCGGGCATGAGGCGATAGTCACTCGTGTTCTTGACCTTGGCCTGGACGCCCATGAGCATTTCGATCCTAGCCACTGTGAGAGATATATACGTACTTCCAGATACACAATAGCCTTGACCCTCGGTACAACGACGTGAGTTATTGAGGTTTCGAAGGGCAGTTCGGCGATGGAGACTGTATGATCCTCGCCATCACTCGGGATGCTTGACTCTCCGTCGATCTTGTACGAAATAAACAAAGGACTCTCCTTCGCGATGGAAGTCGGGGTCTCAAATGAGGATGTAGGAGTGACGAAAGCGACATCTTCCTCTTCGCTAGCCACCCATTCTGATTCCTTAGAAACTGAAGAGATGCTCTCGGCCGGTCTTTCCACTTCCATGCGGCGCCTGTCCCTCGAAAAGCTTGGGGAGCGCGAACGGGACAGGGACGGAGTACGTGACCTTCTTCTAGTCATTCGAGGACGGGAAACTATCACGGGCGGCTGTACTCGGTATCCAGCCAGAGGGTCGGGGGGTACGAGTCGCGACGGTGTTAGCTCCGGTATGGACTCGTCTGCAAGGCTCGGACGCGCTGTGCTCAGCGTGAGCGTAATACCGCGCCAGCTCTCACCCGTCGTGTGCATGACAGTCGCTCGATAATGAAGAGAGACCGACGACGCCGGCATGCCATCTTCATCCGAGTGGGCATGTAGCTCGTATGAGGGTTTCCAGCGAGCCTGACGAACGACTATACAATATCCGGATCAGCGTTAGAAAGGTTAACAGTAGGGAGGAGTGCATTATCGGCTGACCATATGTGAGCTTCAAGACAGCCTCAGTCTGAGCCTTGGCCATGATCACGGCAGTGACTCGACCGTGAGTATGACCCTTCGTTGTCGAGCTTTCCGCGGAGATCTTCTGTATCTCCCGCTGTATCTGCAACATCTCCTCGTCGAGGCGAGCGCCAGTGCGCGCGAGATCTGAGCCGCGCGCTAGAAAGCGGTCGAAAAACGCGTCGGCGTCCAGAGGAGGCACACTCTGTCCGCTGAGCGTCTTCCCGTACTCGCGGAGAAGCCGTGCAACCGACTCCGCGTTGTACTTCTCCTGTACCAGCGTGGCCTTCTTCGCTTTGAGCGCGCGGATGCGCTCGGTGGCTGAATCGGGGAGAACATCCCACGAGTCGGGCTTCTGTATCTTGCAAGAGACCTCGAATAACCGCGCATCGCCTAGGCCGGTGACACGAGCCGAGTCGACGTCGATAGCGCTTGACAGACCGAGTATCGAGACCTCATTGCGACCGCTCTGTCACCAAGAACTCAAGCCTTAGCGCCAGCCCATATACAATGTAGAAAGAGAGAAGCACCTGTAAAATCACGTTGAAACTACGGGTCACCTCAGCCCTGTCCGACTTGTAGATGGTCACCGCCTTGATATCCTTCTCAGAGGCTACTAGTTGGATGGGAGAGGACATGATCGGTATGCGGAATTGAGGCTGGAGATAACATTCCCCTTATACGCTCCTTCTGAGGCGGTGACCTCCATCCTTCCATTCCGATACACGCGTCCTAGACCGTCACGAGTGTAGTTGGGTACCCGCTCGCGAACATTCGCGTGAAAAGCGACACAGGTAGAGCTTCCCAGAAGTGGTCTATTCCGCACACACCTTGGTATTCTGAGGGAGGGGCGATGCTAGGCGGTGCCGTACTTGGAGAGCGTGTGGACGGCGAGCTTGATTCGGAAAGCGGGAGGAAACGTTGAGAATAACGAGTTACCGCGGTTGTCAGGCGTGAGGCACTAGACACGCAGATGATTCTTTCAATAAATGGCACTCGATGCTTGCAGCCCCCATGACGGCTCAGAGCAAACCGGGAGCCGAGCTACTACGTGATCAACGAACAAGCGTGACCGCGTGACGCGACGCGACAGGCAGCGCCGTCGTCGGCCGACGCGTCTGCACGCGCCACTTCGCCTGCAACCAACACCTCCGTTCACGCGCTCTCCTCACGTCCAGCTATGTCCGCTGACGCCGATATCGTCTCACCTCGCATCAACTCTTCTAAGCTTGGCCAATATAACAAACAAATTGTGCGCGTCGTTGGACGTCTACAGATCGTACGTAACCTCATCTCCCCATCTGTTCGTGGTGGGCTGAAGTGCGGGGTCGGATAGGTTGATGATTCGCATGCCATGATTGAAGCAAGCGACGGCGGTCAAATCAAGCTCCTCGTCAATCAAACATTCGTGCGTTGAACGGCATTGGTACCATGTGCATTACTTGCTGACGGGCGGAAAGATGCCAAAGTTGCAGGGTGCGGACTTTGTTGAGATCATCGGCGAAGTACAGGACGCAGGGACCTTGAAGTATCAGACACACTCAACCTTTGACGGAGGTGTTGGTGCGTACCTGTCATGTTCTCGAGACTGTACGAGGGACTAATTGCGCTTTCGCGTACAGATCTAAAACTCGCGGACCAGGTCATAGAGATGTCTTTGAAGTATCAAGGTCGTATATTCTAGTCTGCCAGCATCTTTCACTTCGATCATCTCGCTGTTCTCCTCGTTTTCTCCTGCTGCATCTGTATAATACCATCTTGCGTACATCCAATGTCCTCTCAACTATCTTCATATAAGTACATTCACGGGCAAGTTTACATTCACACGAAGATGAAGGTAAAGGTAGGACTATCCTCGCTGGCTTGGGGAGGATGATATCTCTCCGGATGACACAATTCGATTGGTCAGGTGAAGATGCGCCATAAGGCGGAAAAGTCGAAGAGCGAGCGACACCTAGAGCGACACCTCGGAAGACGATTGGGGTCAGGGTCGACGAGCTCGGAGTTCGCTTCACATCGGTCTCAGCCCATTGTTTTTGATGTCTTCCTGCCTCGGGGTATCTTGAGGCCGTACTGAAGATGATATGAAGATACCACAAATATGTTGAGCGCTGAAAGCTCTGACCAGATCGAAAGAGACAAGGTATACACTGAAGAACATATCGCGGGCAACGATGGAAACAGGATAGCAAAAGACAGAACATAGTCCGCCGATACAAATACACAGAGCAAATATAGAGGAGTACGAGCACTAGATGAGAGAAATGTTGGTCCGTACGAGTCCACCGCGCCAGTGGCGCATCCCAGCCGTCCTCCGCTGACTCCACTCTCCCTGCATCCGCGCGAACGCGTCCTGGATGTGCTCCGGCCTCAGCGCAGTCCGTGCCTCTGGTGGTGGCAGAAACAGGCTACTCTGCGGCAGCACCGTCTCTGAGGGATCGTCGTCATCCGGGCTCGCGGCACGGCGGAAACGTTTGTTGGGTGGCTCGTGGTGAGGATGTGCGAGCTTGCGCTTCTGCGCCATCGGCGAGGCGTGTACAGGTGCGGCCACGTGCACTTCTTCCAAGCTTCGCTTCACGTCAAGCGCGGCAACCGTCAAGGAGCGAACCATCTCGAAGGCCAGGAATCCTACGATATCCACAGTATCGTCTCCAGGCCGAAGGGCGAGGTGGGTGGGAAGAGCGAGATACTCCGCGAAGCGCTTCGCTTTGCGGTATGAGAAAGATGCTTGTCGACAGTCCGAGTAATGCTGGTACTCCTCGCGCGTCATCTGCTTCGTGACATCGTCCGCCTCCTTCAACCGCTCGAGCGATGCTTCCTGTGCCTCCAAGTCGTCCTCGTCTTCTTCATCGTCGCTTTGATGCCCCGCAAGCCTCAGAACCTCGCTGTATACAGTCGTAATCTCCCAGGGCAGCTTGATCGTGATCTTCTGAGCCGTAGGTGCAGGCTTGTCGTCGGCACCTTCGTCGATCTCAACGTCTACACCTGCACCAGCGTCACCACCGGAATCCTTCGCGTGTTTACGGACATCCTTCCATGAGAGATATGTGCGCAGACGGTTCACTTTGGCGCGGTCGTGGCGGATTAAGAATATGAGGTCCTCAACGGAGAGGTAACGCGCGCCGCGTCGGGTGGCGAGTTGACGGGCTTGGATGATCTGAGAGTGCAATCATGATGTAAGAGCGACATCCGTCTAACTAGTCGAACAGTGTTACGCACAAGTTCTATGAGCTGGCTATGCACGATATCTTCTACCAGATTGACAGTCTCGGGTAATGGGTCTTGCACTTCGCCGAACACGAACATCTATTCCGCCTATTAGCATGTGAACTCGAATATATACGGTGAATTTGCCCACCATCTGAGATATCTCCTGGACATACATGTACGGCCTCTTGCCCGTATCGATGCTATAGGAGGGCTTGGCAGTGGGCGCCATGGTGGCCGACGCTGGTCGTGGTCGTGGTTAGAGCTGGAGTGGGCGTCGGTGGGCGCCACACGGCTATCGGCTTCGGGCGCGTGGCCCGTTCTAGCTTCGGCGAGAACCACGACCATCTGCACGCATCTCACAAGTAGGAAAACCAGAGTCGCGACCTGTGCAACATCTTGAGCGACCCTGGTGCGCTGTATGATTTTCAGCGCTCCCAGCGCTTATCATAGGGGCGACTTCTTCAAGGAAGATCTCCGACGGTTTGTCGTCGCCGCTCGCGTTATTCAGGCCGCCCGTATATGAACTGTGCCGAACTGACTCGACAGAAGAATAGAGCTTCGAATCTCTTGCCTTTGACCAGCATCTTACACGCAGCACAGTCATGGCTATTGCCGCTGAGACTCCCTTCACGCTTCATATCTCCGACGAGGCGCTCGCCGAACTTGACAAGAAGCTCGCTCTGACTCGTCTACCAGACGAGCTTGAAGGCGCCGGCTGGGACTACGGTGCCCCCCTCTCACACATCCGTCGTCTTGTAGATCGTTGGCGAAACGGGTTCTCATGGCGCTCCGCTGAAGAATCCATCAACCGGTTGCCCATGTTCACGCGCTCACTTGAAGTGGACGGCTTTGGCGCGCTCGAGCTGCACTACGTCCACCAACGAAGCCAACGTTCTAATGCGATCCCTCTGCTCTTTGTACACGGTTGGCCGGGATCCTTTCTCGAAGTGGAGAAGATACTGCCCCTGCTTACCGCGCCCACGGACGAAGAAGCGCCGGCGTTTCACGTCGTTGCGCCCAGTCTTCCAGGCTTCGGCTTCAGCGAGGGGCCTCATCAACCCGGCTTCCACCATGCTCAAATGGCAGAGATCTGTCACAACCTTATGCTCGCTCTTGGATACGAGCAGTATGTCACGCAGGGTGGCGATGTCGGCAGGCGTGTTACGCAAGTTCTCGCGAGCGTGTATGCGCCTAAGCACGTCAAGGCATGGCATACGAACATGGGCCACCCGGCCGAGCCGCCGCGCTTCACGTCGAGCCCGTTGAAGTGGCTTAGCTATACGCTTACTCCCTTCACGGACGAAGAGAAGAAGGGCTTTGCAAGGATGAAGTGGTTCCAGAGCACGCAGCTTGGGTACTACATGATGCACGCCACCAAGCCACAGACGCTTGCGTATTCGCTATCCGATTCGCCGGTCGGACTTCTCGCGTGGATATACGAGAAGCTCGTGCTCTGGAGTGACGAGTATCCTTGGGAAGACGATGAAGGTCGTTCGTTCTTCGAGCGTCGAAGCGCATTTCAATGCTGACTTGACCGACAGTATTGAGATGGATCACCTTATATTGGTTCTCGCGTGCGGGACCCGGTGCAAGCACGCGCGCGTACTTGGAGCGCCGAGCCGCGGAGGCGCAGTATCAAGCTATGCCAAAGCCTGTCGCGCCTATGGGGATTTCGTACTTCCCGAAGGAGGTTCTTCCCGTACCGCGCTCGTACGTACTCCCTTCCCCCTTTTTGGCCCCCAGGGCTATGCTCACCGCTCACATTAGGTGGGTTCACACGGTAGGCGACGTTATATACGAGAGCTCTCATAGCAAAGGGGGACACTTTGCAGCTCATGAGGTCCCGGAGGAGTTGGTCAAGGATGTACGCGCGATGTTTGGGCGGGGTGGCCCGGCATATGGAGTGGTAGCAGGTGCAGAGGGCTATTCAGTACCCCGCCACTGACCTGTACGAAGCAGCGACCATTTGTATCGGCAAATGCGATAAGATGGGCTTGAGATTGAGCGCGTACCCCGCACTCACGGGCCCGATACTGCGGGGAGCGCTGGGTGATCCGCTGGGACACGATCACCTGAGATTCAGCCACAAGATAAACATGTACGCTGGGCGCTTTCTGTGCTCTGTAGTACGAATAGGAGTAAATACAGGACAAGTATATGAGCGTCAGCGTAAGAACGGACCGGCGGCGGCCGAATACGGGCATAACGAACCTCGTGCACGTGGCGATCAAGTTGGCGGGGGATCTTCACCGTGCTTGTTGCCATGCTTTGACCAAGCGACCACGACGTTGTTGTCTCTAAGCTTTCCTTTGAACCCTCCCGCTCTTTAATCGACCACCATGACCATGAACAGGCTGCTTCTCGCCGCACTCCCTCTCGCGTCGTCGCTGCTCCTGGCGAGCGCACAGCAGACCTGCAACACCACCTCCCCTTGCGGCTCCGAAGCGCCATGCTGCTCGTCTTTCGGCTTCTGCGGTACTGGCGACTTCTGTATGGGTGGATGCAATCCTCTTGCGTCTAATGCCCTCGACTCATGCGCACCCGCCCCGCTCTGTGTCAGCGCAACGCACAGTTTTGCCGACAACTCTCGGATCTTCTCCAACGCCTCTCTATTCGATGGCAACGCAAGCGCATATGACTGGGTGGTCAATTCTGGCAACATCATGAACACGAACACTTCCGGTGGCGAGCTCGCTTTGTTGTTGACGGAAGACAACGGTGGCACGCGTGTCAGCACGACGCGCTATGTGCACTACGGAACCATCACTGCTACGATGAAGGCTAGCAAGTGGCAGGGCGTCGTTACTGCTTTCATTACTATGTCTGGCATCAAGGACGAGATCGACTGGGAATGGCCCGGTGCCAACACCACCGCCGCGCAGACGAACATGTTCTGGGTATGTCAGTTTCCGTTCTTCGCTCCAGAACCGCGTGCTGACACCGCCACATCCGTTTATAGCAAGGCGACATCCGTACGTGCACTTCGTGGTCCCTGTATAAATGCATAGATTACCAGCTGACGTGCGGTCGTCGACAGCCGATGTGACGATTGGAACCTCCGAGGGCCCTATCAACTCTACATTCGACTCTTACCACGACTACACCATCGACTGGAAGCCCGACACGCTGACCTGGTCCATCGACGGCCAGGTTGTCCGCACGATCAACAAGAAGGACACCATGGACGACCAGGGTGTTGCTCACTACCCTTCCACGCCTTCCCTCGTTGAGCTCAGGTAGGAATAATAGCTCTATTCATCTTACTGAACTTTCAGTCTAACGTGCTACGTATGCAGTATCTGGCCCGCTGGTATCTCCTCACAGCCGAACGGCACGATTGAGTGGGCTGGTGGCCTGATCAACTGGGATGACAGCGACTACCAAGCTGCCGGCCACTTCTACACCCTCATCAAGTCGGTCTCGATCCAGTGTGCTGACCCTGATGCCGCAAACTCGACCGACACTAGCTATGCATACACCACCAACACCAGCACCAACACGCCTGGTGTCACGTACTCTACGGCCGACATTGTTGTCAACGGCGCGATGGGCTTCATCAGCGGACGCGCGGCAGTACTTGCCGGATTGTTGGCGGCATTTGGCGTTGCGCTCGTGCTGTGAGTGTAGGAATGGAATTGGAGTTGGAATTGGAGGCGTCGGATTGTCGGCTCATCACTCGTTTGCACACATCTTACTTTGGTCACAACTTACAGAAGCACCCTTTACTTGGGAATACTAGGCATATGGCTATACCCCTTTACCTCATCTTGGAGTGATCGAGTACGCGTCGCAAGTTGCAGAGAACCAGGCACATGAATGCGCCCAAGTAATGTTGTCACTGACTGACCTGACCTGAAGCACAGCGGTCGATGACATCGTGAACTGGTCGAGAATGGTTCGAGCTTGAGCATGGCGCCTGAGCTATTCGTGAAGGTGAAGACCACCGCGTCGTCATGAGTACTAGTAAACAGGCTTGTGCACCGAACTATGACCTGCACGGTCGTGCCATGCACAGGCCGGTGACCTCGGGGTCACTGAGGGCCTGCACGCATGGAGCGCGCGCTCGCCGCCCCAAACCATGACCCGAACACGCGTACGCTGCAATGGGCCATGCAGATCCTGTTCGACTGTTGCGCTGGATCTTTGCGGTATTCCAGCGTTCATCTCGCTTCAAGTCTGTGGAAGGCGGGCTCGTTCATGGACATCTCGCCGTCGAGCGCTCGATCCGGCATGTGCCAGCGTGCAAATCTGATTCTAGCCATTCTCTCGCATACTCCCGCAGCGAGCAATGGAGCCTTCCCTCATCCCATCGTCTCCTGCGTAGACGGAAACGATACGGAAAGATTGAATGGAGCCTCGCCGCTCTATTCAATCGCGACGATGTGAGCGAGAAATCTGCAGTGAACGCTCCTCGGCGATGATGCCCGCACAGTGAGAAGAGCCGACGAGTCTAGGGTGCGACGATCGGGCACGAAGCAAGATGGCCTCGAGCTTGAGAACGACCGGCGGGAGCCCAGACGAATAGCGATGGACATGAGAAGTTACCCTTCCTTTGTGAACCTTCGCATGATATTGACCGATTAGGGAACTCCGCGCGACGTAGACTTTGGCATGCAAAATGACAACCCGGAAGCGTCTTCTCGAAGTTGAGAAGTCTCGAGGCGGGCGTGAGCCGCGTGAGTAGGTATTTATTTCATTTAGAACGGGCCGATGCGGGTTATGGCTCATCCGTAGGCTACCGAGGCGTAGAGCGCTTGAAGATGTAAACGGGAGCGTTCTCTTAGTTTGCCGAGGCAAGAGGCTGTGGTCATGGTCGTGGGTGCAGGGGCCTACCGCCGCTGTGCGTTGTTGGGGTTTGTTTGGCTCCCCGCTTTTGATGCGGTTGATGCGGCAAGTTGCCGCCGACCACCGGCGGCAGAAGCGCGTGCCCTCACGCTTGCCTCTCGCCGTCATGACATTGACAGTCTGGCCCGCTAAGCCGCCATCGTGCGCGATGACGTTCGGGTACTAGCCTCCCCTAAAGCTACGTGAAGCGGGTGTACCCGTGCTATGTCCTAAGTCAATGCCTTGGGCTATTAAGGGAAGATCTAATAGCCAACCGTCCACTCGCCATCCCTTCCTTGAACCTCTCCGAGGTGACTTAAAAGCCTCGTTTTCGACCGTGACGTTCCCTGTAGCACAAAAGTTCTTCTAGAGAAGCCCTGGAATGATATAACAAGGCTACATCTTGCAAAGGTGTGAAGCTTAAGGTCAGACTACCAATGACCACAGCTGTTGGAGTGTATGTACGACTGCGAGCGTGCTGCCCCTTTGTGTGTTATGGCTAGACCTAGACCGCGCTATTTTCTGCGCAAAGGCGTCGGAAATACGCTTCGTGCTCGTTGACCATGTTCTCGCCGACTTCTCTTGCGATGCTCGCGTGTTGTTTCGGCAAGAAGAGGTGAACAAAGTAGCGCTCGTAAAGGTTGCCTCCTTGGTTCATCCGCGGCAAATCTACATGAGGTATGTTTTCCAATACTCGTACCCTCCATTTGAACAAGACGGAGCGCCGAGCGTCAAGCGCTTGACCGGGCTTCGTCGGGGAGATACAGTCGCGGCCGAAGGATCGATCACACCCGGGCCATGCATACAGCAATAGCTCCGGCGTGCCCGATTACTGTAAGGAGGGAGGATTAGACTTTTGACGTTGGCAAACGGCTAACGCGAAGGTGGATGAGCAGAGCTCGATGAACGAAAGCAGCACGGAGAACGTGCTTCGACGCCGCAATGCGTCAGTTTGATGCACGTCGTGCGCCGCTGATCATATTCCTCTCGAACCCCTCAGGATATCGTGCATCGCCCTCTATCTTAGCATGTGTCCGGATGAGATGACAGCTGATCGCTTTCACTTTCACTCATAGTGCTGATAGAAACAATGGAAGATACACGTGATATTGCGAACGCGAAGTACAAGGTCACCGCCAAGGGTAAATCAAAACAAAGGAACCAAAAGGTACATTCAGAACATTCCTGGGGTCAAGATAATCGTGTCGTCAAAGCTTACAGATGGGAAAGAGGAGTGAGAGAGACTGTTCAGACCGAACCACGGCGTACGGCCGCCCAACTAACGATCAGCTCCTAGTGCACCGCTGAACGAATGGCCAAAGTTGGGAAGATCCGCCACGGCTACTTCTCCGGTGCTCTTGAGCCGTTCAGAGAATGAGGAGGACCTTGGCAAGCACCGTGAACTTGAGGGAGAGGACAAGGTCGACAACGGTGCCGAGAAGGCCGACGAGGAGACCGATGACAACGGTGAGGACGCCAGCCACGAGCTTGAGTACGAGAGAGACAAGTGCAGCCAGAATGGGGCTAAACCGAAGGTAAGCAAACGTCATATTGATTGAAAGAGAGGGAACATACTCGAGAATCTGGAGCACGACGAGGACGTCAACGCTACTCTTCGAGGCAGAGTAACACTTTCCGCACGACGAAATGACGATCTATGGTGATATCTTGTGAGCGATGGCAGAGTTAAGGTCAATGAGTGCATGCGAACCTGGATAGTAACCGAGATGAGCAGGAGGATGTTGCCTGAGCCGAGGCCAGACGAGCTGTTCGCCGCAGTAGTAGCATCCTGGATCAGCGTCGCCATCTGCTGCACGGGCGCGTTGACGTTGTTCGCCGTCGCAGTGTCCGCCGTCATACTGTCTATACAACTGTCAGTAACAACGAGCCCATGCTGCAGCAAATGTCTTACTGAGGGTGTTGGCCGGCGTCTGAAGAGCATTGTTCAGGTTGGTGAGGATGGTGGTGAGGTCCTGTCCAGCGCGAGCCGTAAGCTCGCCAGTCTCGGCAGCAGGAGCAGGAGCCGGAACGGCCGACGCGATGGTGCCGAACGCGAGGGCGGCAAAGGTGGCGATCTTCATGAAGGAGAACATGGCGACTTGGAGAGGAGCGAGGAGAGGCCGAGGCGGTCTGAAGTGAAGTCGAGGAAGCTCAGGTGAACCTGTGGCTGAAGATTGTGAGTCGTTGCAGAGAGGTTTTTATAGCTGCACCGACGTACGGAGATAGCGATGAAGTTGACGTTGGTCTATCGCCCTTCAGCATGCGTAAAACCATCCGAGCGCCTCGCTGAACGCCGGAACCGCCCGCCCGACGTCAGAGGCGCTGCCTTCGGTAGCGCTTTGGAGTGGGATAACGAGGACAAGGTCCCGCTCGGTACCGGTGAGAGGTCGTCATCCCTGGTGATCATGTTCAGTACGTGTGGGTGTTCAAATGAGGAATGCATAAGCCATGCAGTCGTCTCGGACGCGCCCGTCTCGTCCTCAACGAATAGCTTCGCGAAGCACGCGTAAACGCGATATTGGTCTCCACATGTCTGCGATATCAGCTCAGAGACGCCGAGTCAGACGAAGGAGAAACATCTCGATCGTCATGCGCAGGTATATTCAGCCCAGGAGAGGTGACATTACATCGTAAGAACCGCACTTTCCATTGAGACGACCATCCAGAACAAACCGCTGGGATGCAGTCAGATGAGCATCAAACACGTTTGGGGCACTGTTCATCTTCGCTCTCATGTGCTACAACGTCGGAACGTGCTCGAAAGCCTGCCGTCCAAGACCTTCGGCAGATGTGGAGCCATTTCAGGAGTACTATAGGTCTCCGTGTCCCGACGAAGACGGTTCGGCACCAAGTGAGAAGGCCGCGTGTTCCGTATCGGCACAGCAGGGCTCCAGAAATGATGATAGGGCGATACGAGACTGTTGAGGCGATCCTCGCCGGATGTCTTTGATGGGTAGTAGAACGGTTGCAATGAGCGCTGGGCGAGGGAGTGCGCGCAAAGGAGAATGCGAGTGAACCAGAGAGGTCTCTTAAACGCAAGCTCAGCGCCGACCAGGCCTACAAGTCTTGGGGCGAGATGTGTCGAGGCTGACCCTTCATTTTGACCTGATGCAGTCCATGGACCGCATAACACCCAAAGGCCGCGGGCGCAGAAAGAGCTCGTGACCCAAGAAAGAGGCGAATCGTCGTCCAATCGCCGAGTTCACGGCGCAGTGAGAACGACTAGAGAAGCAGAGCTTGATCCCTCTCAGGACGGGCACGGGGTGTCAAGATGAGCCCAATAGTCAGCACTGATAGAGAAGAAAGTACTATGCGGCGTTGAAGACGTCCTTGGGCGGTGATTCCGGAGAAAATGTTACGGGCACATATTCCCATGAAGGCCAGCGCTTTGTGTCGCTTGACTATTGACTCGAAAGACGTGCGTCCGACCGATGCCACAGTCAGATGATTTGGGTGTGTAATGGCTGAAACGTGAACCCTCCAAAGGTATTGCGACTTAGAAAGATGCCCTGGCATGCATACTGGATGGTCTGACATGACTATCAAACATACGATCATAGTGTGAAGCTTGAACCCCGGAGAGTCACCAGCAATCGGGATTCGCAGAAGTATGTCCCGAGGTCACATCCGTCGACGTGATTCGTGCGTTCCCGGCGCTCTTGGGTTCATCGATGAGACTGTTGAAGTTCCGCCTGTACCCTCGATGAGCGATTGAATTGCATTTACCGATCTTTGTGGGACGAACCATTCTCGCGCCGAAGAGGGCGTCTAAGTATACGTATCGTGCGCGCTCCACGTTCACGTGCGTGAACGTTGAATGTTATGCGGCGATGAAAGTGGGAGGGACGGCGAGGACGGCGGCCATACACCGTGCATCGCGCATTGCAGCGAACAATCACAACGTGACTTCTAAGGTACAACCGCTGAGCTCTTCTCGTTCTGCCAAGTCTCCCAGGAAGAAACGAGATTCTTGAGAAGGGTCGCGGCGATGCGACCGATTCGTTCTCGCACCCGATCGTTTTCGCGCCTGCCTCGCGACTGGTCAGGTTCCGAGCAGGTATGGAGACACGCCATGAACAAAGGCTCACCTCAAAGGATGAGCGCAACAGAGTGCATCCTTGGGGCGTTGATGTGTTGTCTTGTGGCGAGATGGGAGGCACAGGCGTCTGTGCGCAAGGCCGGGATCTTCGGTCCTCTACCGATGAGGCAGCATTAGACTCACGTACGGTCTTCTAAGTTCAAGGCGCATACTCAGGCTCACGTACCAGATGGGTGTGGAGCAGCTCGGGAGGATGTAGATTGAGAGTTCTTTGGACGTGCATCAAGCCCACGGTACGCGTGAACTTCGCCGCCGTCGATGCGGAGATGAACGGCGAGAGGATGTCGACGGTATGTCGCGCCTTTCACAGAGCACTATGACGACTACTGGGGATTCTGCCGCAAGGGCGGGTTACGATGAGAATGCATCGCGTTCCTGACGCCTGCTTGAGAATGCAGTCAGTTTTCCGTCCACTATCCGTTTGCACTGCGAATAGGCGAACCGATCGCGCAGCCTCATTAGGGTGCGTAAGCGAGTTATAGAGCATCCTTCGGTGTACTTGGGTGCGTTGAAGGTGCATGCCTGTGACCCTACATGGTGGTGAAGCGCAGGCTGCGACTCAAGTCCGAGGACGGTCGCGGCGACAGCTCGGAAGCGTCCGGGCTAACTTCACGCCCATAAGCGCCCATAACCCTTCATCGGGCGCCCCGCGCTGTTGGGCGTTCGCTCTCGACCACCATCTTGGATTTATCACTGATTTTCCGGCGCTTTCGGAACGATTATGACCACGATGGTAGCGCGATGCATGTATACCTGTGGCGCTAGTTCTGCCTCCCCGTCTTGCTAAACATCATGCCCGTCATGCTAGCTTCGGCAAACTCAAGGACTTAGTTTTGGTCTGTTCTTGGTCACCGCTTTCAGGGCTAGCGCTCGATGCATCAAGCGTGACCATCTATGATACCGGCGGCTTGCAAACCTAGGTTCCTCCGTTGAAGAACGGCCGTACGGCGCGCGCAACGCGATGTCGCCTCAATTACCAGCAGGCGAAACGGCCCACCAACTCAGCATTTGACTTCAGCGCGAGGGCTTCTGAAGCTTGAAGTTTATTGTCATCCTGATTCGATATCTTCCGGCCTCGGAAAAGGATCTTGATTCTCGACGAAGCATGCTTCATGCTCCGCGTACGATTGCGCCTACACAGTTGGAAAAGGGCCCGGTACCACTCCCAGCATCTCTTCAACTTGGTGGATGCATTGATTGCACTGCACCCGGTAGGACCTGAGACGGCTTCCCGGTATGAACATACACCACCCAGGACCCAGCACTGCCTGTGATTCGACGCGGTCACCTGGCCTTATGCGCGTTTTACCATGCTCACAGCACGCAGCAAGCTCTCGACGAAGATATCGAAGATTCATTTGGGTTGAGTATCATGGTTCTAGATGTGAACACGCGTCATTGAGCCCCAACGAATTGGGATCTGAGGACGAGCGACTTCGTACCACGTCGCTTCCGCTTCACACTGCTGAGTGTTGTACCGAGACGCGAAGGTGCATGAGGCCAAGTCGAAGTCGAATGAGCACACATCGCGACTGCTTTTCATCCTGTCGCGCAGGTATAAAGACCAAACTGCAAAGGCTCTCATTCCTCAGACCCAGGTTCTCCTGAGCTTCATCGACCGCACCGCAGTCCTAATCGGCCTCTCAACTCCTCGCTCTTCAACATGTTCTCCTTCGCCAAGATCGCCACCTTCGCCGCCCTCGCCTTTGGCACCATCGCCATGGCCATCCCCTCCCCCGCTCCTGTGGCCGCCCCTGAGGCCGGCGAGCTTGTTACTCGCGCTTCCCAGGACATCTCGACGATCCTCACCAACCTCAACAACGACTTGAAGGAGCCTCTCGGCGAGCTCAGTGAGTTTTCTCGGTCTGAGTGACGATACATCTGCTAAAGAGACCTGCAGACGGCATGACCGCGACCACGGCCACTCCTGACAACGTCAACACGAGCGTGCAGAAGGTCAAGACCCTCGTCACGACCGCCACGACCGCCATTCAGAGCGCGAAGGGCAACGGTAACGGAAACCCTCTTATGCTCATGAGCACCACTGTCAGCGTATGTGGCTGTCCTCCGAGAGAATTGTCTGATCACTGAGGAGTGATTCGATAGAACGTCATGACGGCCGTGAACAAGGCGCACAGCGTCAGCACTGAACAGTCCAACGTTCTTGTCGTCATCAAGATTCTCGAGTACGTTGTTCCACATCCCTCGAAGTGGCATATGCTCACGGGTACTCTAGCCCCGTTCTGGCTGCTCTGGTCGCGCTCGTCCTCAAGCTCGTCGGCAACCTGCTCACCATTGTCCTCGGCCTCGTTGTCGGTCTCCTCGGCGCCGTCACCCAGCTCATCATTGGCCTAGACTTCGTCTTGCTCGCTGGCGTGCTCCTGATCTGAGCAATTCAAGAGCGGAACCATTCGAGCGGCTGATGCGGTGCTTCTCCTGGGTCTCTTGATACGTGCTTCTCACGTACTATCATTGTACACAGAAGTCGTATCACTCGGACTGTCATCGCGAGGTGTCAATTCTCTCATTTGTATCAAGTTTCCTTCCTTCTCGTCTCGGTGTCTTCTCGACTGAAACGCCTCGCATACGAATAAAATTCATATCCATGTACTTGCCTCATGTTTTGAAATGATGATGCTTTCTTGATTCCTTACGTCTTTCGCGTGCTTGAAGGGTCGTGCTCGGTTCAAAACAAGCTCAGAGATCTCGGGACCACGTGTTGACATCATCACGAGCGCCTGAAAAATGTGAAAGTACAAGGACTCCAGCGCCACAGCGGGAGAGAGCTTTTGTGGCGGGTGCTCATACCGGTGTCGCGTAGAGTTGAAGAAGCAACCTGTGTGCTGACCGCCAGCTGACGCCTGTTCAATCGCCCAAGCGATCAACCTTTGTTGAACACGAGCCAAACAAACACAAACAACGCGTCGCGTGAGGCGCGCGCTTAACTTGTCGCGTCGCAACCTGTCACCGCGAGTTGCTCCTTGACACCGACCACGATGGCACCTAAAAAGGCCGCCACGGCGGACAATGGCAAGCAGAAGACCCTAATGGGCTTCTTCTCGAAGCCTGCAGCCGGTACTCCTGCGAAAAGTCAGACTTCGAAACCGCGTCTTGCGCCTACCCCACACGCCGTCGCGAATGACAGCGCGCCGAGCTCTAGTCCTCCGTCGCCGACCGACCCGAGGACGCCGATACTACCCAAGAAAAAGCTCGTCCCGAGTACTGTCAGCAGCTCTGTGTACTCTAGCGGTGGCTCGGCCAAAGAGCCGCCATCCAGCGACGTCGTGGACGTCGACATGCTCTCCGACGAGGAACAGCCAGTGAGAACTATACCAGCATCAGTGAATATCTTACTCAAAATTTATGTATAGGTCAAATCTACGAAAGGAAAGGGCACGAAACGCAAGAAGTCTGTCGTTGATTCAGACGAAGAGGGAAGCTCCGGTGAAATAAACGCCGCGGCGTACAAGAAGCGGCAGTCGCAGGTCAAATCCGCTACGACAAGTGGTATGTTGTGTTCTCAACTCTGGATATATTACTGAAGTACTGCCTCCAGCTACGCCTGCAAAGAAGGCACGCATGTCTGTGTTATCTGACGAGGACGAAGACGAGGACACAGGAGCGGAGAGTTCGTTTGCTGGACGCCTGAACAAGTTCAAGAAGTCTCCCAAGAAGAAGAAGCGTACGCACTGGATTCAGACTTGACTTCGTTTGTCTCTGACCCGCAATCCGCAGTCTCGCGCAAATCCGCTTCATCTGACGATGACGACTTCGTGGTTCCAGACGACGTTGACGAAGAAGATGAGCCGGAGTTAGAAGACCTCCGCTCGCGTGCATCTTCGCGATCTTCACGCCGTTCTTCCGCAACTGACGACGAAGACGTTTTCCTGGACGACGATGACGAAGAGGTACCTAAGCCTAAGAAGAAATCGTTTTCGGGTGGCTCAAAGAAGAGCGCTGCTGCCGCTCGTCCGCAGTTGAAGAACGCGGCCGCAGGAGGTAGTGGAAGTGGATCATTCTTGACCGCTGCCGAGCAGCGCGCTCAAGCCAACAAGGAGGACAAGAAGGAAGGAGAGAGTCCGTTCTCCTTCTTACAGGACGTGCGCGACGTAAGTGAGATGCTTTGACTACTCCGATTATGACTGAGACACGGACCGCAGAAAGATGGTGTACGGCCCGGGGAGCCTGGCTATGACGCTCGTACATTATTCGTCCCGAAAAGTGCCTGGGCCAAGTTCACGCCATTCGAGAAACAATTTTGGGAGATCAAGCAGAACCACTACGATACGGTACTGTTTATGCTATCGTCAACATACAGTTCAAAGTCTGATACATGCAATCAGGTGCTCTTCTTTCAGAAGGGCAAGTTTCTTGAGGTTCATAGTACCTGAACTATGACTGCGCACATACTGACGGATACACTGCTAGCTATATGAAGAAGACGCATTCATTGGCCATCGCGAGTTTGATCTGAAGTTAACGCAGCGCGTGAAGATGTCCATGGTGAGCTTCCGCTATATCCGCTCAAAACCAGCTGAGCGCTGATGTTTCTCGCACAGGTTGGTGTACCTGAGATGTCCTTCAACTTCTGGGCAGCGTAAGTTCTTACCCTCTATCCCCGATTGGGAAGGCTCAGGTCAAGTGCAGGAAGTTCTTAGCGAAGGGGTACAAAGTTGGGCGTGTAGACCAAGCTGAAACGGCGCTTGGTGCGGAGATGCGCGTGGCGGCCAATAAGGGCAAAGGTGCCGTTAAGGAAGACAAGGGCAAGGACAAGATCGTTAGGCGCGAACTCAACAAGGTCTGATACTCTGTCGGCTGCACTCAACTCATGTGCCTGTGGCTGACCATTGCGTAGGTGTACACGAACGGGACGCTCGTCGATGAGGCATTGCTTACGGATGAGCAAGCCGGGCATTGCATCTCTATCACCGAGTCGACCCCTGAAGGCGGGGAAAGCGAAGACATATTCGGTTTATGTGTGCTGGACAGCGCTACCAGCGAGTTCAACCTGAGCGTCTTTACGGACGATGTTTGCCGTACTCGTCTCGAGACAACTCTGCGTCAACTGCGACCGAAGGAGATTGTGTTCACGAAAGGGAACCTTTCTCCCTTCACGACACGGCTGCTGAAGAGCATTCTACCATCGTCCTGCCTGTGGACCAGCTTGCGCGACGTGGAGGGATTCGACTACGATCAGACGCTCTCCGAGCTCGAGACGCTCTATCCGTCCGATGACCCTGAAAATCCTCATTCGGAGGCGCCTCCCGCCATTCGCGAACTACTGGGTGACCGCACCGCCATCTGCGCCCTCGGCAGCATGATCTGGTATCTCCGCCAACTCAACATCGACCGCGACTTGCTCACGATGCGCAACTTCAACGTATACGACCCGCTTGCCCGTGGTGCTGGACTGGCGCTCGACGGCCAGACGCTTGCGCATATCGAGGTTCTGCAGACCACCGAGGGTGACACTGTAGGCAGCTTGCTCGGTCTGTTGCAACGTTGCGTCACGCCGTTCGGCAAACGCCTCTTCCGCGTCTGGCTTTGTGCCCCGTTGCGGGATATCAAGGACATCACCGCCAGACAGGACGCTGTTGAGGACTTGATGAAGAGCACGGACTTCGAGCAGACGTTCGTGGCTATCACAAAGGGTCTTCCGGATCTTGAGCGCCTTGTCTCGAGGATCCACGCGAAGAACTGTAAGGTCAAGGACTTCCTGAAGGCTCTGCAGGTACGTCCCACCTCAAATGTGTGATCCAGCAAACAATACTCACGCTTTTATGCAGTCCTTCAGAGTTCTCAACAAGGGACTCAAGGAGCTCGCAGACCGGAGCGAATCCTTCAAGAGCCGCACGGTACTTGGCCTTCTCCGTGGAGCACCGGACTTACTTCCGTACATCAAGAATATCGAGGCTCGCTTCCAGAAGCCTGAGAAAGAGACCGACGACCTTATCCCGGTGGAGGGGAAAGATGACGAGTTCGACGCGAACAAGGAGGAGATAGACGAGCTCGAGAGTCAGCTGGCCAAGGAACTCAGGAAGCTTACCAAATCGACAGGGTGGGTTGATCGCTTCCTAGACGTGAAAGACAGCGAAGCTGATACCAGTGGGGTAGGTTGAGTCTCAGCTATTGGCACAGTGCCCAAGGTCAGAAGGACATCTACCAGGTGGAGACCAAGGCCGGCGAGAAGGTCCCACGGGAATGGACGAAGTCTGGCGGCACCAAAGCCAAGTCGCGGTACAACGTTCCAGCCCTGGCCACGCTGATCCGCTCCCTCAAGGAGGCTCGCGAGCGGAAGACCGCCATAGTCAAGAACTTCAAGTTCCGGGTGTTTGCCGAGTTCGACGAAGATCGCGGGTCTTGGTTGCGCGCGGTGCGCGTACTCGCCGAATTGGACTGCCTTCTTGGTCTTGCGCGTGCCAGTATCGCGCTCGAGGAGCCTGCGTGCCGTCCCACCTTCGTGGAGGACGAGTCGGTCCTTCAGTTCGAGCAGCTGCGTCATCCCGTACTGGCGGAGAAATATTCTGGTGGCTTTATCCCCAACGACATTGGGCTTGGTGGCGCACGGGGGCGCATCGCGCTACTGACCGGCCCGAACATGGGAGGAAAGTCTACGGTGATGCGCATGACGGCGACGGGCGTAATCATGGCGCAGCTGGGAATGTTTGTACCGGCAAAGAACGCGCGCCTATGCCCCGTCGACGCCATCTTGACGCGCATGGGAGCGTACGACAATATGTTCGCGAGCGCGAGTACGTTTAAGGTCGAGCTGGACGAGTGCTGCAAGATCCTGCGCAGCGCCACTCCTCGCACACTCGTCATTCTCGATGAGCTCGGCCGTGGTACATCTACGTACGATGGCATGGCCATCGCCGGCGCCGTACTCCATCAACTAGCCACACACACTCTACCCCTCACGTTCTTTGCCACTCACTACGGTGGGCTCACGGATGACTTTGCTTACCATCCGAATGTACGCAACATGCACATGCAGACGCAGATCGACGATGACCAGCGCACAGTAAGTCGTGTGCCATTCACAGCATGTCAAGCATTGACCCTGATCGAACAGCTCACGTTCCTGTACAAACTTGTCGACGGCATTGCTACTGGCTCGTTTGGAACTCATGTCGCGACGCTTGCCGGTGTACCCGAGGATGTGGTTGACCGTGCAGCGGTCGTCAGCGCCGACTTTGCGAATACCTTCCGCGCCAAGATAGAGGGTCGGCGGAAGGCCGCGGGACCTGGTAGCCGGCTACCGCTCGTCGCACAGGCTGACTTCGCGTTCCTACACGCGCTCGCCACTGGTCGCAAGACGCTTGCAGATGGGACAGATGCGGCGCGGGCTCGTGACGTCTTGCATGGTCTTCGCAAGACTGTCGGAGCCTGCCTCAAGGCTGTCGACGCGCGCTGAGCGCGCGCAGATGAAGACCATTGCTATCGATGACTGGTACTTCCTTCTTGCTCGCTGTCACACTATGCTTTGCCTGTCAATGCTAGCCCCCGACAGTGCTTTCTTGATGCTACATTAGCCACAAATCACTCATAATATCTGTGTACATATTTCACGATCAGGCGCGGTTTATATACTACCTGCCATGCTTTGCGCAACTCGTCCGTTCTCAATTGAACTTTCCACATGCTACATAGCTAAGTACGCATCGGAGAATCCGTAAGCGATATCAGGGTCCAAGTGAAGTGAAAGAAAGGTCCTCCGTAACGAGTACGCCCTCGTAATCCCAGTCTCCTCCGCTCCAGCCAAATTCCTCCTGCAACTCCTTCGTTTCCCTCGCCACGGCCTCCAACGCCTCGCGCCGCGTCCAAGTGCGCGCTTCGCCTAACGCATCATCCCCTTCTCCCTCCGCAAGCGGCAGTAACAAAGTATAACCCATCATCTGTTGCACGACCCGAATACGGCGATACGTTGCGCGTACAAGCGCGGCACTACGGATTTTGGTGATCCGTGCTGCCATTGCCGGAGCTGCCGGCCCGGTGGGGCCTCCGGATCCGCGCCTGAAAAGCCCACCTCCGGAAGGTGAGCGCTGGACAGGTCCTAGATGCACGATGCGGGGAGCAGCACCAGGACGAGATGGAGAGGGCCCCGCGCTGCGAGCATACCCCGGTGTGCGCTCTGGGGTAGTGGGCAGACTGAGCGTCAATCCAGCCCCTGGTCCCAAGTTGAATGACCCAGGTCGTGACCCTGGAGTTGAATCTGCAGCGCGCAAATATGGGCTGACTTCGGGTGTCGTTCCCCCCGAGTATAGACCGGATCGTATTCGAGGCTTCGCAAACACCGAAAGACGTCGGCCGCGGGGTGAGGGGGCAACCTGTACACGCAGCGCATCGTCAAGTCGGGCGGCACCGACTTGCATGACAGGGCGAAGTTGAGTGATGAGGGGAGAGCGATGTAAACCGGCGAACTCGAGCATTGACCAAAGAAGATAATCGACGACACGCGGTCGAGCGACTGAACTGCTGCGCACAGTAGGAGATGCTGCTCGTGAGGAACTGAATGGATTGCTGTTGCTCTCTGTACTAGCATCGGGATCGACCGCAGACAGCGGCGAGTTTGGCACGGAATCACCGCCAGAATCAGATAACGCGAAAGACGCGTCGCCATCTGCGAGGATACGCTTTAGAAGTTGACCAAGTTGGACCCATATACCAGGTAGGATGTCAGAGATCTCCTCCTCGGCGCGAAGTACGATCACTTTAAGAACCTGAAGGAGCATTGCTAGAAGGGAGGCAGCGTCCGTAGAAGTGGATGCGTCTTCGCGGCTAGACGTGCTCCGTCGCTGATCTTTGGAGTTGCTCCTAGCCAGCGGAGGCTGACCAGAGACTGTCGTTCCCTCGCATTGCGCCATGACAAGCAATATGAGGCGTGCCAGTGCACGCCCGGGTGCGCTCTTGGACCATTGTGCGCCGCGGGTCACTTCACGAGTTGTCGGTATAGCGATGGTGAATGGCAGTAGTATGCGCGAAAGCAGTGCATATGTTGGAGTGCGGCGTTCGAGAATACCGACTACGTCCACTCCCTTCATCAGTGTTGCGTGGCTGAGAAGCTGTACAAGCACAGGTTCCACGGGCAACGTATCTAGTCCGGTGGATCCCGCGAGCTCAAGGGTCTCCAAACCCACAGCACAGAACTGGCCCACCACAATTCTGGTCAGGGCGGGCTCATTGCCGTAGGCAGGGTTCTTTGACAACTTGAGAATAACCGCAAGCATCCCAGAGAAGTCGAGAACTGCAGCGTGCGCCTTGTATATGGGTAACAGATTTGTCAAGAACGCCAAGACGTGCTTGAGCTTTGGCGGCGTCGAGCGCAAGAGAGCGCCCTCGGTGTAATCGGAAAAGAACAAAGACATACGGGCCATAGAAGCCCGATCGCGCTCTGCATCCTTCAGGACGAGTTTAGCGAGTTCCATCACGCGATGGCCTGCCGCAGACGAGTAATCGAGCTCTCCGCCGGCTTTTGTGAAGGCGACCACAAGCGATAGATAGTCCAGACGCATCTGTGCAAGATCGCTCGGAGATCGTGATTCGCCGTAGAAGTTTGCGCTCGACGCAGCGTAGACCGTGCGGCTGATGTCATCTTGAGTGCGTAATTGGGCGGCCTCGGGCACTTTCTGTTTGTTGCTGGTGCTACGCGATAGGAAGATGGTACCGAGTGCCTCAATACCTCCCTTCAAGACGGCGTGGGCCTGAGGGTCGGCAGAGCAGCTTGGCGCAAGGAAGCGAAGGAGGCGTAGGAAGTTCTCTGCACGACGAATGCCGGGATCATGGCCGATCACCGTGAGGAAAAGGCGAACAAGATTGTCTGGGCTGAGGCGTACGGTCTCGTACTCTTCTGGCACAGTGATGTCAATCTTCTCACCGCCCTTCGCGCTGCGTTCTCGCCTCAGGAGAGAGAAGAGGGCCTGTGGCTTCTGCTCGGCGGCATAGATGAGCAATGCCTCTTGCTCCTCCGCACGATTAACGTTGTGGATACCGGCGTAGTCAGGGGCAAGGAGGGGGGCGCCATCTCGTAGCGAATGAAAGAGGCAATACACCTGATCAGATGTCCATCCACACTCCGCGTCGTTGGTAAAGGTGATCAAATGAGACAGGACGTCCAAGCTTTGGAATACAAACGCCTCCTGATACGCAGCGTAGAAGCGATTGACGGCGTACTCGATGGCAGCACGGATAGCCTCGTTATTCTCCATCTCGGCATAGACCTTGAGGATCGCTGGCATGAACATCGTGTAACCTCCGCTTGAGCTGAAGATGCGTCGGAAACGAGTACTGGCGATCATGAACGCTATAGCCATCGACATTCAGCACGATATTAAGCTTACATATCAGTATGGCTTACCGATCAGGACATGAGCTACGATGCCTATGTCATCCCCGTGAGCGAGAATAACCTTATTGAGGCCATCCACGAGAACTTCGAGCTCCGCGCGATCGTTCAAGTGTCGTGGCATGGCTTTCAAGACAGCTTGTACCAAAAGCACGTAGCTGCGAGAGAGTACCAAAGATAATCCCTCGAGATCTGCGTTGGGGTTGGCCACGGGAGCGCTGACCAGACGCCTCTTGGGGATGTACGCATACATGTCCTTCACTGAGACGTCAAAAGCATCGCTGTATGCGGGAAGCACGAGGCGTGACATGTTCTTCCGGATTGCGACAACGTCTTGTGGGTGCCGTTTGAGCATATCGAGGAAGAGTAAGTTCTGAGCTGTACGGATCATCGTGATCTGCGTGAGCTTCTCCCGGGCGGCAGATCGTGCGCCTTGGACTGCGTCGGCCAGTGACCGTGGGAACATAGAGCCTGCCGGGGCGACATCGCTGAACCACAGCGAACCCGACGGGACGAGAAGTTGTTCCACCTTCGCACGCCGTATATCCCGAAGTGAGAAGTTGCTGACATGGGGTGAAAGCTCGGCAACCACTGGCAAAGAGAAAGCGAAAGCGGAGATAGGTGCGTCTGAACGCCGTGACGCTGTCTTGAGAAACCCGACTATGTGATTGAGGATGTGATGTGTCAGGCCTGGTGGTAATGACCTTTGGATATGTGTGAAAGCTTGCATGGCGCGCACCGCGTTAAGTATGTCCTTTTCTCCACTCGATAAGGCGTCTAGGACAGGTCTCGATATGAGAGCAGGGTCGTCTCGCATGACGTCCAAGATGATAGAGCGCGCCGAACTTGACACAGCGAAGTCGTCGTCAAAGACAAGGTAGACCAGCTCGGAAAGTAAAGACGCGATGGCGGGGACGACAATAGGACGTCGTTTGACGGGATGGCGCGCGCTCGTTACGGCGGAGGTAGATGGCTCCGGTGAAGGCGAGGGAGATGATGGCCGAGATAGAGTCAACGACGATTCTTCCTCTACCGGATCCATCTGTTGAGTCGCCGCCAAAGACAACGGGGTCTTCAATATTTCCTCCTTGCGGTTCCCGACTTCCATGTCGAGTGCCCAACCAATGTCCATGAGCCGTTTTCGGAGTTCTGCGGGGATGACAGTTCCATTGCTGGCTTTCAAGACTCCTTCCTGGTCTTCCAAAACGAAGGAGCTCGACCCCATGTCTGTAGCGAGGAACGAAATGGGGCCCCGTGCGTACTTAAAAGGCCGGCGATATGTCTTGGTGTCTGTGATGTACTTCTGCGAGAGTAGTTGGTACCGCCAGCCGAGCATGATTCCCAAGCGATCAGCGGCTCTTCTCCGGATGAATAAGTCGGGTCTACGTTCAACCGGTCAGCCTGATGACAACGCATCTATGACTTCGAACATACCCTGTTAGATCTTCGCGAATAGCGCCTAGCAGACGACTTTCCGGCTTTTCGGCGCTCTGCATGAGTAGAAACACTGCCTAGGTCGCGAGGAGGTTGAGAATATAACATCATGCAGTTGGTACCGATGCGAACTTACCCTAGCTTGAATGAAGGGGCTTTCGTTCTCTAAGCATACGTGCCACAGAACGTCATTGAGGCGATTGTAGTCGTCAACACCGAGAAGACCAGAGCATGCAACGAGAAGCGCGAGTCCGTTACACATAAGACCTCTTCCCATAGTTGCAAGAAGCGGGGCGCGCCCTTGAAGTGTCGCAAAGGGGCTTCCGGATTCCGCTTCATCTTCTGTAGCAATGACAGCCCTAGTCGCGGCGGTTCCGCTCAGATTCGATGAAGCCGAATGTGCCAAAGCGACTGCACTGGGACGGTGCTGAAAGAGTGAATGTGTGCAATTAGAAAGATGAGATCTTCGTAATCAGCTGACAAACTGAGACGAACCTTGTGGCCACGCATAAACCGCTGCGCCTGCGCCTCAGAGTAGATCTTCCCTAATCTTTCGAACACGGCTTTTGTATCTGAGTCCACGGTAAGTAAAGGACTTGATGTCGCCTCATCACCGCCAAGCCAGATGACAAGGCATGACTGCCAGTGCGCACTGCAGCATGTGTCAGTTAAGTGACGGATGCAAGTCGATAGGTGGTGTAGACCTACAGCCGGAGTGTCTTCAGGAATAGTCTTATCTCAAGGAATAGCACGGTGAGAGCAATACGATGAGCCTCAGGTACAGGCGATGTGCTGTCCTGGTGATGCATCAGTGTCTTTGCCACTAGAGGAGGATGCACGAACAGACCGTGGCGCTGAGTATAGCCCCCAGTCTACTCTCGAGAGCGAAGAGAAACTTGGCTGAAGCAGCTAGAACTGCTTCGTTTGTCTACGAGATAGTCAGTCTCGCCCTACCGTTCCATGAATCTACCGAGGACATACCTTGTCTTTGGGGATACGGCTCAGCGACTGGACGAAAAACGTGAGTTCCATCGTCAGAATCAGCTGCCCGAGACGGGGTCGACGTGAGGAGCCCGACGTTCCACCGCTCATCAATCCAACAAGGAGCATTTCTATGTCGGCGATCCAGAAGGTGCGTACGATACGCGCCAGTTGAACCACAACGCGCAAGTGATTTGACAGCGTGATGTCCTTCGAAGCGGCTGCAAGTGCAAACATCGGTTTGTAGAAGAGTTTGGGATAATCGTGAGCTACTGTCTCCAAGAGCTCCGAGAGTTCCGGAAACGGCAGATGAGGGGGGTCGCTGACGAGTCGCTGTCATGAGAGAGCGAGATAAGCATGCGGCCTTTGCGATAACGGAACAAGAACGAGCCTCGTTCAGGACTGGCAAGAAGCCCATGATCGCGGGCAAACGGAAGTCATCCGGTAGCTGATCCACCAACGCCATACAGACGGCCACAGATGAAGACCACGTCTCCTCTTGCATCTGTGAAAGACGCGTAAGCAACATCGTCGTGATACGTGAGAAAGATCTATCAATTACCTTCTGACGAAGAGCTGACTCAAGTGCCGCCGTCCATGGACTTTGACTGAGGCTGTACCACTGTGCAAGCAACACTTTCGCCTCCTCTTGTTCTGCCATGTCTTGCATACAGAGCATGCGCAGCGCTATACGCGCGACGAGCATACGCGGCTCGGAGGCGAACTCATCGGCCAGTGACTCTGCCTGAGGGACCAAGCGATCACGGACGAGGCGGAGAACGTGCGCACGTTTCAGGGACATCGGCGACGCGTCAGGTTGAGGAAGGTAGTGGAGGATAGCCTGCGCACAGCGTGCGAGCGAGCGCGCCACTAAGGGAGAGAGGTCGATGGGATGAGGGCCAGCATCAGTAGCTACAGCCCAAAAATCCTGCACGGAGTAAGTCCTATCTCCAATCAATGTACTGAAGATACGAACCTCGGACAGGGCTTCGGCGATATAGGGACGGTGGGCCGGTACTTCCAAGTCCAAACAAGATGATAACGCTTGGAGGACAACGCAGTCTTTCACGAACACGTCTTCCGTGCGCTTCATCTTAGCACCGAAGTCCCGAAGAACAAAAGAAGGTTCAAGGTCGCCACAGGCTCCATGTAATGCGCCGACAATGAGCTCTCGAACAAGGCTGGCCTCCTCGTGTGCTCCATCGAGGGCGGACAACGATGCCAATAACGAGAACAACGCTTGGAGTAATGTTTGTAGAACGAGCGGGGATTCCGCCCGGAAGGCGACACCCGGTGCGAAGACCGTAGAAGACAAAGCACCCAGGACTCGTGCGCGAAGGTCCCTGTCCAATCCAACCGGTGCTGCCGCTTTGCAGCACCAAAAACACCGTTGGAGTTCAATCTGTAACAAGCGTCAGAATGAAAGTAATACGATTGAAATATAATATCACCTCGTGCGAGAGTGACGGCCATGTCTTTACGATGACCTGAAAGGTCTCTATAGACTGCCAACGTGCGTTCAGAATGTTTGGATCAGGAGCATCCATGAGGAACGGCGCGAGTAGTAACGCCAGTACGTCCGCTTCGTATGGTAGAGACTCCTCTGCTTTGGCGGTCCCTGAAAGCGCCGCGGCATATTGAGCCAGCACCGCATGTAGAGGGCCTGACGTAGGAAGTGTGGCTGAGGATGGCGGCATTGAGGACATCGATGGAGCTCGTCGCATGCCCCGGTTACCGAAACGTCCATGGGTGAGATTGCTGGTGCTGGTGGTTGCGGAGCCCGGCAAGGTAGTAGTGGTAGACATGAATGTCATGTTAAACGGCGTAGTACCTTCGCGCTTGGGCTGAAATCGCGGCTCTATGGAGCGTGCGGCCAGGATGGCTCGCAAGACATCGTCTGCAAAGCGTCGCGAGCTATCGCTCGAGACCTCCTGCGCTTGTTCCACTACCTGTCGAAAGCGACGAGGAAGGCGGAATTGCTTCAAAGGAGCGGAGGATGGAGTGCCCGGCCGGGATCCTGCAGGTGATGCTGGCCTATTGGGGGTGAGGGCGGGTAGACGGGGCGTTGGCGGCGGAGATTCCTCTGCCGACTCCGGTAGGACATGCTTGCGTAGGGTTTCCCAACGCCTCAAGCTCGGCGAACGTGGTATGTCCTCCTTAGTATCCGAAGATATCGAGGCAGTCTTAGAAAACGAGAGTCCTGATGGTTTTTTCTGCGCTCGAGCAGCTGGAAGTGGACGTGGTCCGCTATCGGAAGAACCAGACGCGTCGGAGTACTGGGTTCTCGGGTTCCAAGTGAAGGTGCCTTCCTCCGATTGCGGCGAGGAGGTTAGGACATTATCTGTCCAAGCCTCACGGGGAGGTGTAGGCGGGACCAAATCATCCGCGAAGGGATCCGATCGTTCCCTCAAGGGTGTGGCAGTTCCACGTGCACCACTTCCTGAGCGTGAATGTTCGCTTTCAACGGCACTGCGACTGCTATCTGTCGAGAAGAATCGACGCGCCAGTGGCCGGCTTCCGGATGGACGCTTCTGCTGACGAGCCTCTTTCGACATGCCGATCAGCAGATGGTGGTTGGGAGGCGCCTGTACACGAATCGCCATCAACGACAGGCGTGGCAATCTGGCACCCACGCGAATCAACGATCAACGCATCCCGTTGTAGCTCTTGTTCTTTGCACTCACCATCTTTCTTTCTACGACACTCTGTCACGGAGAGCATCTAATATCCTATATGCATAAGTATGAGACTTGCATAGTGCTACCGCAGTCGTCGCGGTGAGGTTTGACTTCCACTATGCACCCCAACATGATGCACGATGTGTCATGCGCCTGTCGACTCGGACCTGCGACACTCCTACGCTAAAGCTTTCTGCCTCATGTGGATGGTCGCCATGGCCGGGGCATCGAAGACCAATGGCGAATCGAATACCCGGAACCCAATGAGGTCACGACAATGACACCGATTCGGAGGAGCAATGCGCTGCGCCTCACGCATACCTAGTTCGGGTTTGCAATCTACTCGCGACCTTTTAGATTGCTCGGTTTTTTCACCTTGACCACGTCCTTCTATCCTGCCATGACCCCGATTCGCAATGCACGCTATATCCTAACTGGTATTCCTCAGGGTACGTCATGGGTTTGCTATAGGCTATGCTCGCAGCTGCTCATCGTGTCGTAGACTACCCGGAGGAGGGCAAGCACATGCGATACGATGATTCTCAGACGATCGAACTCGACAACGAACCATTGAATGGCGGTGTTCTCATCAAGACTCTCGTCGTGTCGCTTGACCCATATCTACGCTCAAGGATGCGTGATGCAGGTGTCGAGGGCTACGTGGTATGTCTGTACGTTAGCTGACTTTTAGCCTCACTCATGCATGTATAGCCCGCCTTCCCTATGAACGGCCCTTTTGAAAGCAGTGCTGTAGGCCTTATCGTCCGCTCTGAGCACAAGGACTTTGAGGCAGGCGATCATGTTACGAGCGCGGCCGGCTTCCGTACGTAAGCTACTTCCTTCGCTTAGCAGTTGCTCATGAAGATGTCACTGTTGCACAGCGCATCAAGAGTACTTCGTCTGGAAGGACATGTCGGATTTGCAGAAGCTGCCGTCGGAAGAGGGCTTGCCCTGGTCACTCTACATCGGCGTACTCGGTCTACCTGGTGAGATATGCCCATCAGTCACGACAAAGAATATTGACTGAGTCTACTTAGGGCAGACAGCTTACATGTCCTGGAAGGAGTTCTCGCACGCAAAGAAAGAGCAGACGATATTCGTGTCGACGGCCGCCGGGGCCGTCGGCAGTGTCGTTGTCCAGCTTGCGAAGATGGATGGTCTCAAAGTCATCGCGTCTTCTGGTTCGGATGAGAAAGCCAAGTTTGCTCGCGAATGTGGCGCAGACGTGAGCTTCAACTACAAGAAGCAGAATACGGAGGAAATTCTTCGGGAACATGGCCCAATTGATATGTGAGTTCGACTGGTATACTTATACACTCGTCGTTTCACATTACGTTCAGTTATTACGATAATGTGGGAGCGCAAACTCTCGATCTGGCATTCAAGTATGCTGCGAAACAGGCGCGATTCATTGTGCGTCCATTCTTCGGGGCGCTACTGCGGCTACTCATCGTACGCAGATATGCGGCATGATCACCACTCTTAACGAAGGTCGTAAGACTTACGCATTCCAGGTGCGCACACAGATTACCCCCTCATGCGATCTTCATGCTAAAATCGATGATCTAGAACATTTTCGAGATCGTGGCGAAGGAGATATCCTTGCATGGGTTCTTGTGGGCAAGTCTCAGGCCACGCTACGTGAAACAGTTCTTCGATGAGGTACCGAAGCTCGTCCGGGAGGGCAAGATCAAGTATCAGGAAGATAGATCTTATGGTCTCGACAAGGTTGGCGAGGCCTTGTTGCAGGTTCACACGGGCGTGAACCACGGCAAGAAAGTTGTCGTGGTGGCCGAGGACTAGAGATATATTTACGTCTGCGCTGAAGAATAGGACGACGGCTAATATCAAGCTGAAGAGTGTAGTCCTACTTTCAAAGCCCGTTCTTGAATTATGCATTATGCGCAAATAAGTTATGCCGAGCGCGTCATGGTGCCCTGCGACTACATATCTTCGGTGAACACGCGCCATACCCAATAGAAGGATGGAAAGCTCACTATTCTATACGAAACCTCACGGACCATCTTCCCATCACCATCATTGCTACTAGAAGGTGAGGATAGTAGCCGCAACTGCCTTCAATATAGCTCAGCAAGCAAGGGACTACTGCAGCCATCTATTTACGCACCCGCTCATCCGGGTTTCTGGTACAATGATTACTCGGTACGCCTTGCTCTGCTGCAGATACGCAGTACCTTTCGCGATATGTGAGCATCGTGCGAAGATTCCAAGAGGGTGAAGAGGCCATACCAAGTTGAGGGACAAGGATAGCCTTGGCTCCGGTTTCGAAATTCGCTGGTGTTCCGTCGGCGTGAACAAGTTTGGTGGCGAGCTGAGACGTCGTGACGATCTTTTCACGATTGTCAGTCAGTATAGACTGGCGAACAGAACACGTGATAGATGGCCTTACGGCCACTTTGCGTTCCGCACAAAGGTGAGTCAGGTCGAGTTTGACCTTTGCTAGAAGATTGGCGCGAGCAGTACGCGACAGTGAGCTCGTTTCTTGAAATGGAAACCAGAACGATTCGAGAATGATTAGTGTTATCTACAAAAACAATGAGTCAACACATGGCTCCAGTCAATGTCAGACATACGGTAGGATGCTCATCGAGGTACATTGGCAGCGTGCGGAGAAAGGCGAGTAATCCGGTCATGGTAAAAATGCTATCGTAATGCAGGAGGCTTGCGTTCGTCGCACCTGAAAATAGATGAGATACAAGCATAATCATAGCGACACGTGTCTCCCACCAGTTACGTCGCGAAGAGTCGACGGAGACGTCATGTTCTGACTGACTGAACCTATTGTCAATCGATCTGGAGTATCGTATGACGGACAGTGTTCGTACCAACATATATCACTTCCTCTTCCCGAGCCATAGCCTGACGTGCAAATAAAGAAGACAGATGTTCCCGTGGCGTTCCAGGTGGTCCGGATATCTCCAACATTTGTCCGTACGCAAGCCCACCATCCAGTAATTCATCTAGAGGCTCGCAATACGAGACGAAGTGTTTTCCGAGTTGGGCAAGAGATGACGCCGACGACCCCAGTCTAGGTTGTGCGGAATTTGCTCCTATTCCGAGTAGTCGCTGCGGTAACGACTGCGCATAGAAGTTCGCTGTGAGATATCATCGTTAAGAGCGCGATGGACCAAGTCTGTCACGTCGAACCTCTAGATATTGGAGGGGCCTGGGAAGAGTGCGGTTGAGAGAGGAAGACACTCGAGTTATACGAACTTGGTATTTCCGCCATATCCAGATGACACCGGTCGACAAGAGAGCAACGCTTGGATGTGGCGACAGATGAAGGTGGTGGTCCAGGTCACAACCCGGTAAGGCAGGTGACCGCGTTCTCCGTGGAGGCGGCGGCATCAGCCGTGATGACAGCACGCGCCGTGCGCCGTCGTCGCTTCTTTCGCACCTGCGCGCATGATCTGTGTTCGCCATCCATGAGCGCCCTAGCATGCAGGGTATCGCACAACTCAAGTGTATACGAACTCGCTTTCTTCCCAGTTTGGTTGATCGTCGGAGGCTCGGAACAAGATTGATCCCGATACTATCAGCTGCAGCTGCCCGCTGGTTGACGCCGTGAGCTCTTCGGACACATGCTGGGGCGTAGGCGATCCGAGCACTCGGAGCTGCCCCTAAGCGGCCAGCTCCCAGTCTCACGAGTACGAGAACCCGGACCGGGTGGCTAAAGTTTGTAGAGGCTCGTATCCGGATAGTCCCTCGCATTGTCAACAACTGGCTTGGTCGCGCCATGGCCTACAGTTTGCTCTAGGCTATGACGACGATCTGAGTTGGCTGAACATTGATCACCGCTACGTTTCGCTAGCAAGATCCACACCCTCGACAATCAACTTCTGCAAACATGAAGCTGCTCGAAAGGCGTTGTCGGGCGAGTTCAGTGCCGATACATCAGCCGCGGAGGAACCGTTGCTCGAGTATCAGCCCAGGATCGTAATGTTCCCGATGAGTTACTACGTGCCATCTATCAGCAGTGGCGGTCAAGTAACCCTGCCCATCCTCCGCCTTGTGTGTTCCTGGGATGGAAACGTTCGAGGCATCTTTAGGCGCCTTTCCGCCCCATTCCGGAGACGTCCTTCTTGTTCAATCGCGCGCCGTCATGTCGGTTATGCTCCAGTGTGCAAACGGCAGAACTTGGTAGAGCTCTATAAAGCATGTCCCTCCTGTTCGGCTCCCTCAAAAGGTCTGCACGATATAGCAACGCCCCAGGCTCGCTACCTATCCTCTCCGTCGACTGGCCCACCTTCACTAAGCTACCTACACCTTCGACTTCGCCTATCATGATGTGCACGACAACCTTCAACCCGCTGGTTCAAGGCTGGAGATGGCCGTACGGCGTCGAGCCTACCCCAGTCGTTTACGGGGCCCTTCCCAGTTCCATGCAGCCCGCGCCAAAAGCACAAGTCTCTCCTCGCGACGCTATCGTCTTTCACCTATCGCATTACCGTCCAGACGTCCTGAACTGTCTCGTATCGGACGCCCATGGACGAAAACACCTGCGAATCTCGACAAACGATTCAGAAGGCAGTCCCACTGTTTGGCGAGACGTCACAAGCCAGCGTGCAGTTGCGCTCGTCGATTGGTCTCAAAGGCCTTCTGCGATGATTGAAATCCCGGGACTTCTCGGCAGAACCGCAGTGCAAGACTGGTGCGTTCTACCGTCGTATTGGGTAATGACGCCTCTCACTGATCACTCGCACATTGTGTAGGATACCCCTGTGCGATGACCACACGTACGTCCCCGTTTCCCAAAGAGGCGCCAATTTACGGCGCGCCGCATTAGCATGGCCAACTGACGGTGCTTCCCGTCTGATAGAACCAGGTACATGGAACTCCGAGGCGTGCACTACTCGTGGGTGCCGGTGGGCGAGTTTATTTGCGTGAGCATACACATGTCCTCAACTCGAGCCGGGCTGACAGTGACACTAGCTTTATCGCACGGGAGACGCTAGAACATCAGCCATCGCACGCGTGTCCCGCGCATCCAACGGCGCAACCCTGGAGCTCTCGCGACAGGCCCTCCTAGCTGAAGCAAGCCTCTTCGAGCTATCTGTCGTCGCAGCAACGCTGTTCCTCTCTGGTCAACGATTTGACTGATCCTCGGACCTCCATTGCGCCCGTTGTCAGATACTTCATGACCTTTCACGATCTTACGATGCCGAGATCTCAAGATGTAGCATAGTCACTTTCCCTTATACCCTCTGACTTTCTAAGGCCGCCCTCTTTGTACTAAGCTTCCTCAGTCTATTTATCTATACATGGATACCGTGAATGTGCACAAGCTATAGTTAGATACAATCGAGTACTGTATGCCACAGGCGAAATTGCTATAGAGTGAATGCTTCGCTTCGCCAACCTTGCCTGCGGCGCTCGTAGGACGTCCGTTTCCCCACCGTCTCTCTCGATCGTACCAGATTTCCAGCCATACTATGTGCTTCAGCTGCAGCTTTCCCCACCTCTCCGCTCACATCTGCCACCTCGGCTTCAACATCATTGACCGCGCGTTCAATTGCCACGCCCGTCCGGACAGAGACGTCAGGGTTTGGCGCAGCACCGGCGGCATCTGCAGGTCCTGCAGACTCATGGACGACCTGCGGGGCCAGGCCGACGGCAATCGCAGTCCGCTCTGCTTCCTGCCCGGACTTCGCGTCGACGGGTTCGCTGACAGTCGTGCGCACGAGGCCAGTGCGTGTGAACGTTGTCTCCGTGGTCTGTATCCCGGCGCCTGTCTCGTCTTCTTCCAGGCCCCCTTCGTCATCTCCGTCCTCTTCGGGGATGATGCTAGGAAGTCGGAGAAGGGCGCGATAGTACTGCGTCAGAAGGGAGGTCTCCGCGTCGCGGGTCCTCTCCTCGACCGCAAGCTCGCGCCAGTGCCCAAGAATCACGCTCAGGTATTCGAGACCAGCATGTATCTGGGACTGCAACACGCTGCCCGCGATGAGACGCACTGCGGGGCCAGCTAATGGTTGTACAAGCAGTTTGTTGATGAGCCAATGATTCGTGCGATCCAGCGAAAAGCGTAATCCGGGTACGTCCGTATGTACGCTGTCGACATCGAATAGACGATGCGGCTGTCCTTCCGAGAACTCGCCTGTGTGCATCGATAACGAGGCATCCACGCTTAGCCCCTCTCCTGGCTCGCTGGCGCCGACTAGGACGGAGAGTAAGCCCCTATCTGCATAACCGAGCCCGAGAAGGCGTGGTGGCGCGTAGCGTAAGAAGAATCCCAGGTTTTCCGCTGCGAATCGGATGCCGTCGAGTCGGAGCGAAATGCGCTCGGCAGTGCGCATACGAGAAGCGCCTTGATAGTCAGGTGTGTTATCGACCTGTATCTCGGTCCAGTTCGCCAGCCGCACATGATCAGGAAGAAGAGAAGCCGATAGCGACGAAGGCGTAAGTGTGAACGAATCGAGTACAATCTGCAGGGCTGGGTCGCTGTACTCAATTCGTGGAAGGGGTACAGATTTGACGATAGAGAGGATCCGTGGGACGAGCCAGAGAATGATGTCGCGAGTAGCTGCTTCCTTGCGCCGGCGCGTCTCTGCGGCGACGGTTGTAGCTGATGCCGGGATGAAGTCGAGGAACGCCACTCGTAGACGATCAATGGCGTCGAGAAACCTCGCGGTCGAGCGATCTGTGGCGAGGCGAGATGCGAACACTTCCCATTCTTCGTTCAAGGCCCGGATGTCTGCGGCTAACGGTGATGGCGATTCCCCGCCAAAAATATCAGTGCCGCGGATGTAGAGTTCCTTGAGCGTCTCCGAGCCCTGCTTCGAGTGCGCGTAGCCTTGACAACGGAGAGCTGTATCAAGCCACGTAGCTGCATCAGATATGAACACCCTGACAGGCGCCTCGGTTTCAACCGGGAGATTGACGATCTCGAAGGCAACCTTGTCCAGTCGCTGCAGAAAAGCATCCAATGAGTAGCCCGACGCGAAACGCTCCACCAAGGTCTTAGCCGTCTCCAGAAATGACTTCAGTATTGGCTCGGCGCTGAAGGCAGGGTGCAGTGCAGTGGTAGGACCATCGTGTTTATGTTGGCTATTCGCTGCCTGATGTAGGAATGAGGCGTACTTGCGACCGATGGTAAGAACATTGATCATTGCGCTGCGATAGCGGATGTCACTTCGAGCAGTGTCAACGAGCTACACGGGTGACTCAGTCAGCGCACAGTTCCAGCAAGAGCTACTGGATCTGAGTGAGATCGCACTTGCCTGTTGGACACGTACGACGAAGCTGTGCGTTAATTTCTCGGTCGTTTCAGTCCTCAGCGCCAGCAGGCGCTGCTTCTCTTTATCTCGTAGGTGTGCGAGCTCGTCTTTTGCCTCCTGGGCAGCATCGACAGCGCCTTGCATAGACGGTGCATTGGCGCGAACACCAACCTCGATGTGTTCAGCAGCAGAAGCGACTTGGACAGCGACGCTATCAACTTCTACAGCAGCTGTAGCGGCGATATGTTGTATCACTGATAGAGAGTCGGAGAGTAGCAGTCGGAACACAGCAGAGCTCATGAGAAGCCAGCACAAACTGACGAATGAATTCATGAGAGACGATACGTCGTCTGCAACCTCTTCTTGGGAAGGCGCACTTTCAGGCATGTCTGTTGAGCTCCATAGTCAGCCACAAAAAAGCCATTATCGATGGACACATATACTTACCCGGTATAAGGTTGTCCTCCTGTTCGATATATACGGATGCCGCCAAAAGATCTGGCCTGCGTGTTGCTTGCGAGGCGAGGTAGACGAGCTCTTGGAGCATATCATCGTCTATGATGGAATGAGTAGCCGTTGAGGAGAGGAAGCAGTATGCCAGTCGCACCATTCTTCTCCAGCCCAATCTGCGCTACCATTTCCAGGGTTTGTCGAAAACAGAGTAGTACACGAGCAGCTGGCTCGCTAAGTTCATAAGCCTGTAGTGTCGCAGCGGCGACAGCCGGCTTCAGGGCATCGCTAGCTAGGAGCAGCCTGATCGCGCGGTTGAGCTGTTCTTGAGAAGGTAGCTTGCTAGCTTTCAGTGCGCCCACGATATTGGCCAACCTGGCCATTAGGCGCGCCTGGTCACTGGACTCTTCCACATCCCTCAGCAACGGCCGAGCCTCCTCGTCGTTCTTACGGTCTTTCCTACGTCTGCAACAGGAAAGTACGAAGCCCATGACAGATAGCAGTCAAGTCCAAGGTTCACGTCAGGCTCATGTTCAGGAGCCGTCGTTGTCAACAAGCGCTACGCTACATCGACGTCATGGTCAGGTCAAAAGGGCGCGGGTCCATTCAGCGAAGTCGGGCGATTCACTTCCTGATTGGCTAGGCGCCCTAGTTGCATCCTTCCACCATCTGCCATCCCACTTCGGCAAAGTCATGCCCTCTGGAGAGAACAGTTCCCAGTTCTCGGCGGAAGAATACTTCGCCACTCAGCCGCCGCCTGCGTCACTTGAACAAGACGTCGCCCGCGTCAGAGACTTTGTTGCGCGGCAGAAAACGGCGGGCCGGAAGGTCGCGCTCATTACAGTGCGCATATTGCAAAAGATGCATCATATTTAAACTGACAAGAGATAGAGCGGAGGAACCACAGTACCGCTTGAGCTCAATGTGTGAGAACACCCTGCATTGCGACTGTCCCGCGAAGCTCATAGCTGCTCGCTCGCAGTGTGCGGTTCCTCGATAACTTTTCAGCGGGTGCGTGCCGAATGAAGTTCAGAGTGCTGGATGTTAGGCTCAACATGGAATATTACAGGCACTCGCGGGGCCACTTCAGCCGAGTACTTCCTGAGCGCAGGATACGCTGTCATCTTCATGCATCGACAATTCAGCCTGCAACCTTTCAGCCGACATTACTCTCATTCGACGAACCCCTTCCTGGATTTGCTCAATGTGAACTCGTCCGGCGATATAGCTGTCGGCCCAGATCAGCGCTCCGATCTCGCTGAGGTTCTAGCTGCCTATCAGACAGCGCGCGACTCGGGCTCGCTACACACCCTAACCTTCGTTACCATAAACGATTACCTGTGGCTTCTACGGGCGGTCAGCAAGGAGCTCGCCGACTTACGCAGTCGGGCTTTGTATTACTTGGCGGCAGCTGTCAGCGACTTCTTCCTTCCCCGGCAAAGGCTGGTCAGTTATACGTATCTTGGCCTCACGGACGTAGACTGACTCGATCGGGCTTAGTCAGAGCACAAAATCCAGTCAGGAAAGGGTAGCCTGCTCATCGAGATGGATCAAGTTCCCAAGATCCTCAAGACGATGGTTGACGAGTGGGCGCAAGATGGCTTCGTCGTGTCTTTCAAGGTTGGTAAATAGCTTACTCACAACCAAGACACGTTGACTGATTATCCCCAGCTTGAAACGGACGACGCACTGCTGATCCCGAAGGCACAAGGCGCCCTTGAGCGTTACGGGCACCAGATCGTTGTGGGTAACGAACTTCACCGGCGCAAATACGAAGTTGTCTTTGTCTCGCGCGACCCGCAGAGTCCCGAGGACATAACATCCTCTTGGCTTCGCATAGACCCGAAAGCCTTGAATGCTCGTGGAAAGGCAAAGGAAATTGAGGAGGAAATTGTCAGAGAACTCAATGCCCGGCACGACGCTTGGATCGCGGCTCGCGCTCGCTAGCTACATCGTACACAATCGTACTTGTACTATATAGTTCACACTTCCACTATCTCGAGCCACTGCTCTCCTCCGGAGCAGACGAACACCGAGCTTCCCCTCTGAAAAACAAACGTTGCGAAAACGCCATTCTGAACTGCCTCACACGGGTAAGATATTCTGGACAGTCCTTTGGACGCCCGCAAGCGGTGATAAAGATAATAGGGTGTACTTACAAATGGGGGTATCCAACGCGTACGAATACAAGTCACATGGGCGCGTAGACCCTCTTGCTGGCTTCGGCCATCCTATTGTCACTTCCACCTTCACGACGATGATCATGGCCGAAGCGCCGCCGCCGACATCACCGACCGACCCTCTCGCGACGTTCCCGCCATTGCCTGAGGCAGAGCGAGACCGTTCTCCCGAGTTTTACGGCTTCGTCGCACTCTCGCTCACCTACCTTCTCTTCGTGGTTTATCTTGCTTGGGCTCTCCTTCCCGATGCGGCCCTAGAAGCACTCGGCGTTGCCTACTACCCCAGCCGGTACGTCCCGCGCCTTCTGAACATCAGTACGGCCCCGCTGACGCGCGGTCTTGCCTTCGATCTTACTTCTGTTCATGTCCGCGGATGATCACCATTTCCTCTTTCGTATCTGCCGCTGCTTGTCTGGCCTGGCGGACACAGAGAGTGGGCGTTACTTGTACCCGCGTGGACAGTTGTCCTTGTGCTACTCACATATTGGTCCCACCTGGCGATTGCGCTATTCCGTGCGCCCGCGCTCTCGGAGCCGTGTACACTTACGGTTGCACGCAGTATGTGCCACAGCTTTCTACTCTGAATCTCCGACATGCTCATTTTGCGTTTGCGAACCTACTCTTCTCGTCCACTCGCTCTCTACTCTTGTTCCCGCACACCACCACCTCGCAACGCCATCGTCGGACCCATAAACGGACCAACATCGCGATCCAGACGCACGCCTTCCTCCGCTTTCGCGCCTCGAGCCAACCGAGTTGCCCATAGGGCTCGTGAACCGCGCGCTGTATCGACCTCCCAGAACGCTTGTATCGTCCATTCCGTCATAAACATGACCTGGCTGTAGTCGACCCTGCTAGATGCAAGTAACGACTGTGGGGCATGGCGCGCATATTCCGGTGACCTACCCGGTGACCAAAGCCCAAGCCTCGCTTCGATGGGAGAAGCCTGCAAGTTGCCGACGATGTGCGACCTACGCCCGCCTTCATCGACAGAAGGGTTGTTGGTTGCTCAACCTTTGTTCGATCCAGATTCGACCAAACACCATCATCCTCGCGCTCGGGACGTGGGGCGTAGCCCACTAGGCTATTCAACTCCGACAGCCCTGAATAGTACACCCTCCTTCCAGACCAGTACAACTGATCTCCGACCCTGCTTTAGGGCAGTACGACATCAGGTTCTTCAGTCTGCCGCGTGGCCGGGGCGTTGACAGCACGCTATGGAAGTGGGCGGATAGTGGCCGTACTTTACTGTGGCCCGGGACACTGTTCAAACTCGGCGCTGCATGTTCACATGAGGGCAGCTGGCACGCACGCCATCGCTACTCATGGCTGTCATGGACGCTGGCGGACAGTTGTGCAGGATCGAAGCGTGTGGTACATGCAGAATATTCCGGGGCTTCCCTGCGAGAGTAGCATACTGAGATATACTATTGTGTTCACCAGAACTATCTTAGACCCCAACTAGATAGCATATTGCAGCAAAGGCAGTAGTGAAGCTTGACATTCGCAACTAGCAACCGGTACACGATAAACCCAGACAAGTAGAGTAAATGAAGCACGAAGCCGGGTATCAGGTATCTTGCACAAGAAAGCATAGCACGCCGATCTCAGATCTCAACCTCAAAGCAAGAACATCCTACGTTCCAACCGCGCATCAACATCCATATACGGCCGGCGGTAACGGGCCCGCAAGCGCGCCGTTCCACTGTGAAGATCGTCAACACCGCATCGTCGATCTCATGAGAAAAGTGCATACCTGGCTGGGATGGTACGGTCCCAAATTCGAAGCATCATATGCCCACGAGTTGCGCTCCTCCCCTGGCCCCGGACGGGCGGGCGGTAGCAAGCATGACAGCCCCAGCCCCAAACCCGGTAAGCTATCGAGCTCCGCTCGCGACAACATAGGCGCATATGGTCGAGCGGGGGTCAGGAGGCTCAAACTCTGGGGCTGCCAGATACGGTTCGAACTGGTGCGCGCAGGCACGAAGGCGATATCGGCGCTGTCATTTGCGCCGATTCCGTGGGTGCGCATATGCCGGCGGGCGTTGGAGCGGACAGCGAAGGACTTAGCGCATGTCGACACAGGGCACCGCCACGCTGTAAGCGGCAACTGTCAGTCGCCGTGCAGCGTCAATGAGGTACATTGACTGACGCTTTTCTCCTGAATGCACATTCATGTGCGTCGTCAGAGCGGACGGACGAGGGAAACTCTTGTCGCACTCCGGGCATGGGTGCATCTTGCTCGTCTTCCTGCGTTTCTTGGGTGGTGGCGGCGCGACCTCAACATCGGAAGAGCTTGCTTCCCTGGTCATACTCGCCGCTCGCTTCCGTTGTGGAGAGACATCCGGTGGTGTGGGCAGAGACATAGGTAAAACAGGTAAGGCGATGGGAGGCGCGATGAGTGAACTAGTAGGCTCATAGCTGTCCTCGGTCGGGCTCGAGGCCCAGCTACCACGACGCGAAAGCGGGCCGGTAGAGACAGGGCTGCTGAGAGGGCTGCTCGTCATGTTATAGCCAGCCTGATGTTGAGTTTCGGACATGCGACGAGCAAAGTCCCGGTTAAGAGCGGCGAGGTCAGTGGACAATTTCGGGGCAAAGCGAACAGGCGTAGGCGTCTCCGGCGACACTGGGGTATAAGAGGCCTTTTCGACGGGCAGTGACGACGAAGCCGTAGGCCAGGTAAAGCCAAAATTGATGTTGTGGGTGGGACTGAAGACCTGACCGCTCTCAGCCATGGCGTAGGACGGTGGTGGTGGCGGCGGCGCCACATCGGAGCTCGGGCCGGTGAAGGCCATTGTGGCGCTCGCGTGGTGGGAGGCGGACATGGCGAGGAGGCGCTCGGTCGGGACCGCGTACGACTGCGCAGAGGTCGGTGTAGTTGGGAAGATGAGGCTGAACATCCTTATGTGCACACGAGTCAGTAGCGTGCTTTTAATTAAGGCGAAAGTTCTTATAGCGCTCCCAACAGGCGAATGAAGGGATGTATTTGCCTTGCTCGGGAGAGTTCGGCGCGAGGCAGCATGCGACATGCTGTCGCGCCAGCTGAACTGATGCGCCGAAGCTACCGTTCTGAGAAGTGATGTTCTCCTTCAAGATGGGTCACCCGATCTCGACATCATGCTGGGTTCGAAAGCCGGCAGCTAGGCGTCCATGCTCGCCGACGCTTGCCTCGCATCCATGCATGCACGAGCATACACTCACGTCCCTCCTTTCGTATCGCACGCACTCGCCCAGCGCACTTCGTTCCGAGCCTACACGTTAGTCTCTGAGTAGCACGGAAGAGTCAGACCTGTCATGTCCTGAACTACTTGACATTGTTGTGCCAGTTGATCTTGAGTTGCTCGGGCGTCAATCATTATATATCGCGTGGCAAAGACCGGGCCGACAGGCGCCCATGCCGGCGCCACCAACATGGTGATGATAAGGTAATCAAGATGATACAGCGCGAAGTCTAAGCGCGACGTAGGGCGTCACGTTCTGGCACCCTCATGTACCATCGTAGCTGCAGATGGGCATCGTCAGCAGGTGGCTACATGTGAAGGATCGTATAGGACACGGACCGGAGTTTGCTGAACGCAGCGGGTAGCCGCGGTGCAGCCTCCGGGCGTACGCGAGTCTCTGACAGAACTAGACTTGTACGCGTGGTAGCGGGTGTACGTGTCCGAGCGCGGGCTTTACTTGGCGCACTCTGTGGCCGAAGGTTGGCGGATCGCAGCGCAGTAGGGGTTACGGTAGTCTCGTTGCGCCGAAGTCGGTGTGGCTGCATGCATAGTGAGAAGATCAGCCGGTCTCCTATCGAGCGAAGAGTAAAGACAGTAAAAAAGCCCGGACGCGTCTCAGGTGCGCATACTCGCGCGCGAGCGGATGTGCACACATGAGAAGACACTAGGAGCAAGCTGGCGTGAGCAGAGAGCAGCCCGCTATGATCGCCTCCGAGCTTTCAATCTCGAAGTACGTCGATATTCATCGATATCGCACGTCACAGAACGTATGAGCACACCCGCAAGCGTATGTCGCATCTTTGACGAGCATCGATGAGGTATGAAGGACTCGTCCGCCACGTAAAGTTCGTATACGGGACCGTGGCGGGACCGCAAGACGCCCAATGATCGATAAACACGGGCATCTGCACGCAATCCGCACGTCGCAGTGGCAGGGCAGGACCCTCGCGTGTCTTAGACTGCTCTGTGTCCAATGTCTTCTCCTCGAGCCACTGCTCGCGAAGACGGAGTATGACCCACTTCCCACCCCGAAAACCCCGCCCGGAGGAGAACAGCGCAGCCCGTGAGCGCTGCAGGCTCGATCAACGCGGACAGACCGTCCTAGATCTGCACCCAGCAGCTGCGGCAAGTCAAACAGCCTCCTCCATTCACCGAAGCGGACTCCATTCTGTCCACGGTCGGCTCCAGATTGACTCAGCACGACGCCCCGGGGGGCCACAGGCAGAACCACATAACGCCTTCCTGCCCCGGTATCCCGGCGGCCAGGCTGGCCGGGAACCGAGAAATGTTGAAAGATGGAGCACACACGCAGGCCCGAATCACAGACAAACGAACAGGAAGAGAGACGTACCGTCGGTTTCCCAACCTTGATACCTTCCCCGCGCTCAACAGGCCCCGCGGCAGAGAACTTCGCCCACCACCCAGTCGCGACAGCCAGATGCCGTGCCTTCGCATTCTCTTCATCGTCGACGTCGTCCAATTCTTCCAAGTCAAGCAAGTCCACGTCGATGACCTCTCGGCTGGCCTCCTGCCTGACACCTCGAACGGGAGGCGAGGGAGTGAAGGAGCCAGCACTTCCGAAGGAAAGCTGTAGCTCTGGTCGCTGAGTTTCAATCTCTTCCGCATCACTGTCGCCAAACAGTACAGGTCCGCGAAACCTCTCCTCTTCCTCTTCCTCGAATGTGTCGTTGTCGTCCTCGTCATCAACGTCATCCATTGCCTGCCTGCGTGTGGGAGTATCGGGAGCGAGCACGAGCGGTGCTGCACTACCACGACCCGCAAGCGGGGACACACTCCTCAAACGCTTCTGGGACTGGGACGGCACAGGTCGTTCAGGGCTGGAAAGAATGTCCTCGTCTGCATCGCTCTCGCGTCGTCGGCGTGATGAACCCGGTCGCACAGGTGATGACAGCTCCGGCGTAGCGCAGCGTGCGATGGATGGCCCAGGTGAAAGATATCCATCCTCCTGTGTAACCGGCTCCTCCTCGTCTTCCAACATGTCATCAGCCACATCATCTGCATCCACAGCAGCATGATCGCTATCCATGACTTCTTCCTCCGACTGCTCATCGACCTCTTCTGGCTCGGGTTCCAGGGGTTGTGGTATTGGCGCGGAGTGCCTACGTGACGGTCCCACACCTGCAGCTCCCCCGCTGAAGAATCGGCTTTCGCGTAAGACCGGGGCGGGCTTTGGCGGTGGTATGTTCTGATTGCGCTCACTGCGCGAAGGTGAGGACGGTGCACTTGAAGGTTGCCCATGCCCATGATGGTGTTTCGCGCGCTTTGCTGCCGCATCGAGTTCGTGTGCTTCCGCAAGTGTACGCTTGCCGCTCGCACGTCCGGCGACAACCTTGCGATTGACATGAGCTATCTCAGGCACCGAAGCTCTGGGTTTACGCGGCGAGAGAGGCGTTCTAGTCTTCGGTGCTGCGGCTGCAATGATATCAGCCACTTGATGCGCCGATCGTTCAGATGAAAACCCCTCACCGACCAGAAAGTCAAGCATGGTTGCCTTGCCTTTGCCCTTGTCAGCACGAGCGGTGTCCGCATTGTGAACTTCGAGAGGCAAGGGACGAACACGCCGTGGCGTATAGGTCGGATTGATATCGACCATCGGCTCTCTTGACACCGGACAGGCATCACCACGAGCGATGGCACAAGCAAGCTCCGGATCAATATCCTCGCCAACAAGCGCCTCGTCGGCGTCCGTCCATTCGATGCCCTCCGGTATAGGTGATAGATGTACGACGCGACCCTGCGCTGGGTCAAAGACGCGTTGGTGGACGTATACACGCTCTGCACGTCGAGCCTGCTCGAGGTAGCCTCGCGGAACATTGTACTTCGCGTCCATCTTCAAAGCCCGCACGGCTCCGTCGAGCCCTCTGTGCTTTCGCACGAGTGTGTTGGCAGTCTTGATACCGACACCCTGCACGCTAGGGAGGTAGTCTCCACCGGCGAGCACAGCCATTGCGCGGAATTGCGCGGCGGTCCAGCCGCGTATAGCAGAAACGGCGCCAAAGTCAGAGGCCGATATGGATGTGAAGGTGGCCGAAGTAGAGTCGAGCTTGTAGAGTACTCGCTGGCAACCGAAGACGAGCAAGTCGCTGTCTTCGGATATGATGCCTTGTACGATGCCCTCGCGTTCGAGGAACGCCATTTGCGCGTCGGCCTCGTAGGGAGCAACCACATAGTCGACATTCTCCGCACGCAATGCCTAGCAGCCAGATTAGCCTGCGTAGTGGAACTGAAGGTGGCATCTTACCTTGATGACCTGATACGCCATTTGTGGTGTCACGTCTACGCTCTTGCAATAATACTCTCGTGCCTCCTTCTGCCGGCCCTGACGTGCAAGGGCGTCGCCCTTGGCCTTGTGGTCTGTTCGACGCGCTCGACGTTCTACTTCAGTGCCACGCTTGGCAGGTAATGGTCCTCCATCAAAGACGATGTAGGGTGAGATCCCGTGGTGACGGAGGAGCCGGACCCTCTGCATGAAGTTCTCCACGTATCTACAATGCCTTAGTATACTGAGTGCCTGATATATACGCTCAAATACGCACTTGCTGGTCGGCTTGCCGGTCGCAAGTTCGGTGGCGCATGTGAAGACTCCGCGGTGAAGCCAGACATAAGCGTCGACTGCGATGGTCTTGCCACCGAAGTCTGACAGATGTTGTTGGACTTGTATCGACTTCAGTAGCGGCAGTAGTCCGCCAATGCCCATGGTATAGTCGTCGTCGTATAGGAAAGAGAGGGAGATCAGACGAGCATGGATTGAGTCGAGGGAGTGCGAAAGGTTGTTTGTTCGTTGTGGCCGGAAGCAACCTCCGCCACTTTGAGACCTCTGACATCCGGGCGCGCCCTGGTGATCTCACGTGAACGCGCAACACTTCTGTTGATGCGCTCAGGGTTTCGAGCGTATTCAGGAGTGGGCAAGTCACCCCGACCTATGGTTCTAGGTGCAGTGCTCGAAGCGTATCTGTACGTATGAGAGCCGGCAAGGTATGGCTACACTTCATGGTCTAGGCTGACTTGGGGCGGAAGATGAACAAAACGTTGATAAATACAAAAATCGTAATTTCGGGTATATAGCACGACAGAATATAGATTTATCACGGTAATCATTCAAAACCGACTCAGCTCCTTCACTAAACCTGATAGGGGGTAAGGTGGGCTCGACATTTGGCCACCCGCTTTTGAGAACGCGCCTCAGCTTTCGCACCATGTACGAGGGTACAAGCCAAGTTCGACTATATGCCATGCATTCTAGTGCAACTACAGGCATGCGAGCGGTAATTATAGGTGGCTCCTGTATCTGGATAGCTTGAGAGTTGGGATCGCTCGTCTTCTACCCGGCTATGCGTATAATATATACGAGCTCCTGCGACTATCGTCGTTATGGACCTCACGCTGTAACGAACAAGAACCATGGGCCCAGCGCGCATGCAAGAGAATAGGGCACTTAGGTCATTGACCTCGACATGTGTAGTCAGTGTCACAAAGCTCATGAGAGCAGGAGGCAGAAGGCTTTCGCCGCGCCGAACGAACGGGCGCGCCAGAACAACGCGCCCATGTGACTTTCGCGGGTATCCGTGCGAGTCGTCGCTAGCGTAAGCGTCCTGGGAAGTCTCGGAGAAAACAGCCTTCCGTGGTGACGGTAGACACCTTCACCGCTCACATCAAGACAAAGGCCAGGTCGCTAAAACGGAAAAGGCGATGTATCAACCGCACAGTTCGGAGAGTCAATGAAATCACGGATGGCGATCTGGTCGGAGATTGCTTCTGCTCCGTAATTTAAGCATCTTGGGCGGCATTGTATTAATCAGACACGTACCGAGAAGATAAATGCCTTGACTCGATCATAAGAAGCGCGGCGAAACGCGTCAAACGGCGTCACCGGATGCCAGGCTCGAGACGCACGTACACCGGCGTTGCTATGCCCAGGTGAACCTACCACCTTGTGAGTTCCTAAGTAAGGAAGTCTCTTTATGCCGCACAATGCCGAGCAGTGCCTACAGCCTGCGCGCGTAGGCACGAGGCTCGGTTGAGTGTGAAGATATCCAGTGGCGTTGACACGTATCCGCAGCCCGCCTCTTGTCTGCGGATTCCGAAAGACGCGCTGTACACCCGTACCTTGGTCTGGGCCACATCACAGCGAGGCAGTCGGAGTCTGACCCTAAGCGAGCTCGGGCTGGCGAGATAGCGAAGATACTGAATATGCGATTATAGATTGCGTAAGGCTTGCGTACCGAAAACATGCGATGGAACGAATAACAATATGATACAAGTGCGAGAGGCATTCTCCTCCTATGGAGGCAGCGGATGCGACATGCGTGAAGAGCGGAGGGGATACAGCGATAGAGGAGTAGCGGGCACGAGGTGACGACAATCGTGGGAACATCCAGTAAGGTAGAGAGCGCCAAGAGGATGACCGAAGAGAGAACAAAGGGCAGTAGTGTCTCGGTAGAAATCCGGCTATCGGGACGTAGGGTGGTTGTAGGGTTGTAGAGAAAGGGGATAGACGAGTGCGAGAACAAACGTAGCCTGCAAGGGAGAAGGAAAAACACTCATGCCCGCGCTGCCGATGTAGGCAGTGGAGGCGCACGGTAGTCGTACACAGTAAAATGCTCTTCGAGATATGACAAGTCGGCGTCTTGGTTCCGAGATGCAGTAGGGGTAGCAGGGATGCTTTGGGTTTGGGTTTTACGCTTGGAATACGCAAGCGGTTTGCGAGAGTGGACAAAGGCATCGAACTCGTACTTGAGGTCGAAATTCGCTTCGTCCTCCTAGAAAAACGGTCAGAACTGATCGAGTCGCGTCTATTGATGAGCCTTACAGGTGGGACAAAGGGTAGCTTGCTCTTCTTTGTCTCGAGCTCCTTCCAATTAAGACGTGCGAACCAGGGATGTCGTTGTATATCGCGATGGCTGGACATCAGGCTCCGGCAAGCGAGACGTTTCGCCGGATTCTTCGTGAGAAACTTGCGAATGGCGCCAACAGCCTCGTCGCTGACCATCTGGGCGCCATCGATAGCGGGAGGGACGACAGCGTCTGTTTTCTGAAGTGCTGTCATGATGGCCTCGGCAGACGGGCCGTCAAACGGCCGCAGGTGCCAGAGTAGCTCATAGGCGACGACGCCCAAACTCCAGTAGTCAATCTGCCAACTATATCCGGGCTTTGCAGGGTCGACAATTTCAGGTGCCATGTATGCGACGCTGCCGGCGACGGAGGTGTGCGGCTTGGTTAGGTCACGGGAGTACACAGCGATGTTGAAGTCGGAGACGTGTGCGTTGCCGTACTTGTCGAGAAGAACGTTGTCAGGCTTTATATCCCGGTGGATTATACCGTTGTTGTGCAAGTACGAGATAGCAGAAGATAGCTGAGCAGTCCAATATAGCACGGTGAGTTCAGAGAAACGGCCATGAATCTGAAGATGGTCTGTGGGCCGAAGGACTTCAGTACGCAGCAAGACTGCCGGCAACAGTAGACAACTCACGTCTTAATGAGCCACCAGACATGAAATCGAGCACGAAGAAACAGTTCTCATCATCTTGGAAAGCGAAACGAAGGTTGACAGCGAACGGATGATGGATCTGGGCGTCTGACGGTCAGGCCAAACCAACTGTCAGTGGCATACGACACACCTTCTCCAACAAGCGCCTCTCCTGCAGTATGTGCTGCACAGCACGGGACCTCATACATTTCGCCTTGTTGACATACTTGACAGCGTACAGTGCTTTGGTCGGCTTGTGCTCAACCACTTGAACCTAGACATATACTGTCAATATATAGCTGGAGGCTCAATGGAGCTGCTACGTACCGTCCCGAACGCGCCCTTCCCGATGGTCCTGTCAGAGGCGAATTAGTTCAAATCGGGCGCAGGAAACTCAACGCGCGCGCACCGATGCAACTCAAACTCCCGGAGGGTGACCTCGCCATCGAAGAGCTCGGTAGATTGCGCGCAGCCCATGGGGAAGGATGGAGGGGATAGATCACCCTGGGATAGCTTACTTTGTCTTTATACACCGCAGGCAGCCGCGCCGGGCTCCGGAGTGAAAGGAATTGATGTTTGAGTATAAGCACGAGGCGTGGACGCTTGTTCCGTATGCGGAAACATGGTTCTGGTGCACCTTCCTTTCGCGCCCCGCCTTCCGAGTAGGCTGAATGAGGGCATCCTTGTACTGACCCCGCGTCAAGACAATTGAACAAATACAATTGAGTGAGAGCGTCGGGCAAGTGAAGGTTACGGCTTCTTGCACTTTGCCAGCACGAGGCGCGCCATCACGGACGCAGTCAACCGAAGTCCGTCATCGCGACGCGTCGGAATGCGTCGAAGTTGCTCAGGACGGTCAGCATGGCACTCGATAATCCAAAGACGATGGTGCGCTAGCCGCGATAGGCAGAATGCGCTGATTGACTTAACCGACTATTAGGTGTATCGGTGGGGCGGGCTGACTGTCGCCGCCACGGTAGTCTTCTACGCGGTGAAGTATAACATCAATTCACGCCGAAAGGCGGTACCGAGTAGACGCGAGGCGGGAGTTGTACCAGGTGCGTGCGAGCTACTGGGCTGAGTCGACAGGCGCGCAATAACCCTCACACACAGATTCTCCAGCTCAAGTAACACACGTAGACAGTGCTTCGCGAAACAAACCATCTTAGTGCACATTACCCTATTGGGCATAAACCGCATGGCTTCTCCCTCAATCAGGACAGTATCACAACAATTCTTGGATCCTTTGTCCTTGGCTTCTTCATGCAATGGCGGTCCAACAAGTGGTTCGACTGTCAGCGGTAGACGCCAGCTTCTCTTCGACCGCACTCCAGTTCCCATGCATCGGCATACTCGAGCGCTCTATTCTTGCTGTTACAAGCGAGCCCTATTTCGGCGCGTCGTTTGTCGCGCCGTGATGACGCGCTACCGAGTCACTGCGTGCGCCCGAGCTGTCTTGCAATCGCGCTTGATGGCGAGGTTCGATGTTAGGAGGCGATCCGGAGTCAAAACGTCACCGAGAAACAATGGTAGCCACACCTACTTAAACTCTGGAGTATATCTACGTTGAGCTCCCAGAACCCTCTGCTCATCCGCACTCGCCCAGCGCGAACTTTAAGCAATATCAACTTCCTTCAGCAACATTTCTCACACAATGGCTGGCGTCGGCACTGGTTTCATCCCCTGCAACTCCCTGTCCGGTCTCCCTCCTCGTACCGGTCGAGTCAGTGACATGCCTTCCGACTTATTTGATTACTAATTTGAAGCACAGACTCTCGCCATCGGAGGTGCAGCTGTTCTGTCGCTCTTGATCGGTTCGTTCTACGGACACTCCTGGAACCATAAGCGCAAAGAGTCACTGGACTTCATTCGCCCGGGTTACATCTCCAGCTGTGCGGCGTTTATCACACATCTCATTCAACTCTTCATACTAACGTTTGCTCAGGGGAGAATCGCATGAAGCAAGGCTACTCTGCAGATCCAGAGACCCTATACGACACAACTCCTGTCGGCATGCTCGAGGATCAGCGCAAGATGTCTAACCCCGCTATACCTCGTGAGAACAATAAGCTTCAGCATCGCACGCTCAAGAATGCTACCCTACTCGAACATCGACGTGCCGAAAATGGAGCATACCGCATCCCGTACCCGCAGCGCGACCGCGGCGACGGCCTTGCGTACACCAAACGGGTACGTCTAGTCTTCCTGCCTTGATGAGTTCTTGCTCACTTCTCGGTCAGATGGATGGTATCGTTCCGATGACGGGCAACGTCGCGAAGTCGATGAAGGATTGAGGCGTATAAATATTGTTGTACTACTACCGCTTATTGCCCTTGCATCCTTTCCTGCGTAATTACTATTTGTTTTGAAAACCCCACTCTTCGTATCCTGCAGAAAATGTTTCCACTGCTTGCTGTGGGCCAGCGCGAATGTACAAGCGTATTCTTGTTGCTGACTGGCTCTGGGTAGGCAGTCTCCCGCGTACTAGCTTAGGAGTTTGCGTTGCCGTCACACGTGTTCGATTTGATCCGTCGAATAGTGATCCGACTTATTGCGTCTGTCAGTGTCAACGTCTCTGTCGTTCAACCGCCATGGCGAGCGGATAGTTGTCATCATGCCTGTCTTCAATACACGATCATCCAACCCACTCCCAATACCCCCCGCCACCCCCGCTACCGCTCTTGCTGGGCTCATGGGGCCGCCCTGTGTTTGCCATCCTTTCCATAATGTTCTGCGAAGCGCTTCATCTAGACAATGCTCTTCATCGCATCACTCTGGGATCCCTGCGTGATGTCGAAGGTCTGTAAACACCTTCCGCGGAGATCTTGAGGAAATATCTGCGGCCATGAGCTTGTCGTCCCAAGTCCAAAGCGCGTTCGGGCATCAGAGAGTAGTACCCGTAATGACAGCAGCCCCTCCTGGCCGCACCAGGACGAACGTCGAATCGCAAGTGCGTAGTTTTATCCGATTCCTCCATATACATGTTGCTGATCACTTGCTATGTAGTGGAATGGGTCGAATTGCATATGCGAGGCAACCTCATGCCAAGAAATCGTGTCCCCCTTTTGGACAACCCTCACCATCCAACGCAAACCATCGCTAATGGTGTTTCCTGCGGACAGGCTACTTGGCGGCCATGACATTATTAGGTCCTTTGATTCAAATCCCAGTCTCTCGACGAAGGAGTGTAACCCCACGCGACCTCGAACAGGCTCGCGTTCAAACCTCAAGCTATACAAGCCTGCGCATCCAGTGCACGTGCGTACCCAAAAATGTTCCTCGCTGTCTCTAACTGACGGTGAATCTGCCAGATCCCTCCTGCAATTCATCTTCCTTTGGCGGGCCGTACTCAAAGATCCTGAGGAGCACTGTCGTATTACGTCGACATTGCCGCTCGAGACCGTGGCGCATGACCGTGCACCTGGCTTGCTGGTGGCTCTTGGCTGAGGCTACGCAAGCGACGACTCACTTGCAATATTGTATGCACACCATACACATGATGCGGTCAGTCGTTGTCTCTTGTGCGCACTGTCGTTGACTCATAAGTTTGTATCGTCAGAGCTACATGGCCCGGCGCTCACTGTCCGGATGACGCTCCTCAGAAATGCACTTCGCTATACTTTCACCCCCCCAGGTATTCTTCATACATGGTTCTCGACGAACGTGCTCCACAAATGCCTCCCCTCCAAGTGGAGAAAATCTAGGCAGTAGGCATCAAAACTCGTCTCCAGGTCGCGACCCTTCAGCTCATAGATCGCCCCCTACACCATATCGGCAGAACTATATACGCATCCATTGCTCGCGTCCCTCATCACGTCGCGACCACCGCAATCATAGCTCCTGTCTTTGTCCCCGCATCCTCATTAGAAACGGAAGGATCGACTACGAACTACGAACGTAGCACCTTTAGGGCATAATATCCGACGCGGCTTTGCTAGGACTTCCGAAACGGGGCACTGTGAGCTATAGCCCGCTGGATCTTCTCTTCAGAACGTTCACGGCTGCATTGTACAAATCTTGCAGGCCACCATACGTGTGTCGCTCCTCTTGATCGTGCCCACTCACGATCACGACTCAGACGGAGGTGCTTCCGGATTTGTCACTGCCGGGCCACCCGAGATGCCCATTCAGCCGCGCAGAGCCGCCTATATGCCGCCTATGTTGGCAATTTTTGGAATTTGAGGGACACTCCGGGCAATTGCAACCCGTCAAGAGCTCTACGACGAGAAGGCGCTGATGGGCCACAGGATGCGCCTTCGTACAGGGCAAGTGACTGGAAGCAGTTATGACTCAGCCGCCGACTAAGCCAATCGCAGCTCATCCACGCGTCCACACACGGATACTCCTTACGGCTCATATATGTGATCTGTCTCAGAACTTCTCCGGACCGTGGCCCGCGCAGTGGCCGTTCTTCCTATCCGACCACGCAATGTCTCAATAGCTCCGCACCAGGACTACTCCTCTGCGTAACAGGAGCCATACTACGGGCCTCGCCAACGTGGTTCTCCGATCATGTCTCTCAAGTACGCCTCGGCAGCCCTTGGGTGCGCTCTCTTCGCGTCCGCGTCTCGGGCTCGTACGGCCAGCCGGATATTCATGGCGTCCAGATAACGTTCATATAGAACATGTATCAGTCAGACTCCACCCTCTGTCTGAGCTGCTTGCCCGACCACTCAATCTCCTGTCACGAAGCCATCCATGTACCCATCCTCACTTTCCATCCTTGCTGTACTCGCCCTCGTCTTCTCCGTGGAGGCGGCGCCAGCACCGTAAGTTCTAGCCATCTAGATCTGCGAGATATTACGCTCATTACTGCCTTCTTAGGAACCCTGTGTTCGGCCGCTCTGCGTTTCCGGGCGGTCTTCTGTCCCGCGGAGCCTTGCGGAGGGAATCTTCCTCCCAAGACGCCGCGAAGAGGTCCGACGATGGGGCACCTTATGTGTAGGTCATTGTGCTAGACCCGTCGTGCTCTTGATCCTGACGGTTACAATCCAGGTTGTCCAGACGCCGTGATGTCCCTCCCGAAGCGCGCTCGCCTGTACTCCCCATTCCAGGAGTTGACTCCGGCGACGCTGAATCCGCTCTGACCGTCGACACTTCTTATTACCTTCCCATGTACGTCCAGACTCACTCTACACCGTACTTCCGCTAATCTTTCATTAGCCCTGACGCCACCGATGCTATCGAGTTCCGTGCACGTCACTCCCGCGATATGTTCCATCTCCACTGAGCCAAGCCCCACCAACATAAAACACAAACCCTCACCGCAATCAACCTAGAAGACGCACCACAAAACATCACACTCTTTTGCTCGGAATCGTCACTGTATCATACGCCCTACGCCCTGCACACTCTTTCTGCCCGTAGAACGCTTTGCTGCACTGTATTTCTACTTCTTACGACGAATTTGACGACCTTTACTTTGCGATCGCTGTTGGACCTGATGATCACTTCCGCCGGCGGCCATAGGTAGCGATGGATGTTGATGGATGTGTTCAGAATAGCTCGAAGCGTCGCGCATAGAGCTGAAGCAGTGCTGTCCATACAATTCCCCGCAAAAGCAATTCAAATCGCCTACTCATACTATATTCGTACACGCGTCACAGATTATGATATTACAATTGTCCATCCGAATATGTCTGCTCCTTACATGCCTCCCTGCTGCCCGCCAATCTGCCCTGCGCCCGGGTGCCCGCCAAGATGACGATTCTCCGGGTGAGCACCGTGAGCGACTGCACGCTCACGGCGCAACATAGCCTCGCGCTCAAGGCGCTCCGCTTCAGCAAGCTCTGCGCTCTGCGCTTTGAAAGCGTTCGCCTCCTGCTCCTTCTCGAGCCCACGGTTCTTCAGAGCGCTGCTGCCAATGACGCCGCCGATTGCACGCTCAGCTTTGCCGGTGGCGGCTTTGGCTCCTCCTCCACGCTCGTGACCGTCCGGGCGTTGCGAGATGTGACCGGCTGGCGCAATACCAGGTTCGGCGAAGGCAGATCCTCCTCCGAAGTGCTGTTGCTGGCCGGCATGTGCCATAGGCTGACCTTGACCGGCGCCATGGCCCGTTGTGTTAGGACCACCAGCCGCCTGATGCATCTGTAGCTTAGGATAAGTGTCATTTGTCGGTAAGAAAACGAAGAAACAACGAACGCCATCGTGCTGGTGGAGGTGATCTTGAGCGTACGGGTCTCCGCCCATTGTTCCAGGCTCGTCGTACGCGTTAGAGTGGGCGCCAGCACCACCGACGCGGGCGGAATGTGCGTCATGCCGGGTACCTTCAACAGGCTCGTTCGAGTCGTAAGGCGCGGAGTGATCCTTCTGTTTGAGAGCCGAGATTCAAAATGCGTAGCAGCACAAGATACAAGACATCACATACGTTCTTCTTCGTGAAAAGACCCATGATAGAGATTAACGATAAGATATGGATGGAATGTGGTGGTTATTGATGTTCGAGGGGCGATGTTGGGAGGAGATCGTGTTTCACGAATCCCTTTATACGTTTACTTCGCCGACGTAGCTTGGAGAGATGACGTCCAGGAATGGTCACAGGAGCGGGGAGTCGGGGGCAGAAGACACTGCGCCGTGGATGCTCGCTGAAACGGAACTCCACAAGATCAGCTGTGCGACGAAATGTGCCTCCGCAACCATGCTGGCTTATATGCAGGTTTATAGTGCTCTGCAAGCCAGAAAAACACGCATATGGCATGTCCAAGTAATTTAGTACCACGTTACCGCTGGTACATGGACGATAAAGTCTATGTGTGGAAGCGGGCATTGAGCAGAGCTCGTTCAACAGAGTTGACGCGCCATCGACGCGCGCACGCCGCATGGAGCGACGCGTTGCGTCATGCCATGTGATCGCGA